TTTGTGTTCCCAGAAACCAACACCAACAACAAATTGAACAAAGACACCCATTTGGCTTGGGCTTGGGGTTCTTGGCGGTTTGACCGGATCCATTTCAGCACAACATCCTCAACATCACCCGAGCTAAATAAATGGCGGTTAAGGCAAAACCGCGGGGACCCCAAACTTTTGTGAGAAGCCCTCAAAAATAAACGCTTTAAGGGTCAACATCACGGTTGCTTCATTCCGAAAGACTCCGGGTCCTCTAAACAGGACATCACTTTCTTGCAAGGCTGATGGGGGGTGGCAAATTGGCAGGCCAAGGAAGCTTCTGGGAGGGTTACCTGTTCAGGGAGCCACTTCCCTCCAAAAGGAACATCTTCGACTGAGTTTCCAAAAGGCGAGCCAATTCAAACCCTACCAACATGTTTATCCAGCTTTACATAGCCCTTGCAAAAGTCCGCACAAACTTAGGAGTAGCACCCTTAATTCAATTGCATGAGCAGTCTCATCGAATTCACGCGCAACTCTCTGCCATTGGCTCGGAAAAACTTGCCTGTCTCCAAGTCGGGTTGCGGCCTTTTTTTGGATGGTTTTTAAGAAAACAAAACCAACTAATTGCCTGGCCGAAAGGCACCCAATTTTAAACAACTTCTCACCTTACCCTTGATTGACGACACCAAAGGAGAGGAACCTCGGAACCATCAAAGCAGACCACCACTACCCATCCATGAGAGGTGACTTTACCACTATATCTCACGGGAAAAAGGTCATATGTTCCATCGGCTTGGTCGGAGGGACAGGCCAAGTTGTTGGGCTCGACTTCCGGTCTCAGGGGTTCGCGCTTCGAGCAGAAACATGAAGCTACCAACCGAATGCGCAAAACCAACGCTGTCCTTTTTCCCAAGAGTTCAAGCAGCTCGTAAGGAGATAGTATCAAGGGATTTCCATAATTTGGCGAGGAAAGCTTATTGTACACTAGCTCAATGGAGTAGGTCACCATCGACCCTCTGGTCACCTTCCGGCAGGCTGGGAGGATATCGGTATATGTATAACATTCATTCCAGAGTATGCATGATATATATATATATAATGAATTTACTGTTTACTCTTCAATTGCAGACAGGTAATGCTGGGGCTTGATGCCAGTGGGTCAATCAACACTCAGAAACTTGATGCCAGTGCGGGTCCAAAGCTGAGATGGTCCACAGCCATTGCTGCAAAATGGTAATCAAATGGTCTCAAATGCTTGCTTGCTTGCCTTCAGGTTCGCTTTCACCGCAACCAAAAAGGGATTCCACCCAAAAGACAAACTAGTACAAATGGCTGGCTTCATGTTGGCTCCAACTCAAACCCAACTCCCAACACCAAGATAAACACGGAACAAGCAAAAACAACTTCTTGCTGGACTGCTCGCTCCTGTAGCAGCAAGTCCCTCTCCAAGTGGAGCTGGCTCATCTGCTCGGACAGCCTTTGACGCTTGGACCCCGTGACATTCAGAGTCCTTGTCCAAAATCGCTGGCACTGAATCTAGTTTCCACCCAACTGAGGCAAAGCGGACACCTATGCCTGGAGGGTTCCGACGAAACATTTCGGGGTAAAATGTAAAGCTAGTTGCACAGTTCTAGCAACAGCCACTCATATAACTTGCAACCCTTCTTGAATCACCAACCTAAAAGTAGACAGGCGCCTTCATGAATAAGGCTGCAGCCCCCTTTGGTGAGGTTGCTGTGAGTGCCTGGAGGGACCTTCAGCTAGGTTGGGGCTTTTGATCCTGCCCGAAGAATGTGTTGGACCCCTCAACCCGGAATCCCTGAAAAGTGTGCCCTGGAGCCCGCTGATTTGTTGGGTTTTCTTGGTGCAAATCACTCGCAAGCGACTGGCCGAGTGCTGGGCTGCTGCCGCTTTTGGCGCCGGTCCAAACACTCCGTCTCCAGCTCAGCCTTCGCCTAGCCGCTTCGAGGTTGTGCGGGAAAAGGGCTCAGAAATGAGTGCAAGGTTGGGCAGAACCCGATGGAATTCTTCAAGGACGCAGGGCCTGGTTATTTCATCAAAATTTGGCCAAACCCTCAATGGTGGCGTCCTTTTTGAGGGTGACCTTTTTGTTTGGAGGGGAACTTGTGGGAACTATCCATGTTGCGAGTCCCCCCTTTGCAAACAAACTCAAAGGGGTGTCCCCTGCGCAATCCGCACAATGGCCCCATGAGGCTGGAGGCAACTCACCATCATTGAGCAGCACTTGAGCTGCGTGAGTCAGGACCTCACAACTCCATTGTTCAAAAGGAACACACATACGTGCATGTATATATATATATATACACATTATACTACTATACAAATATTTCAACCACTTGTATACGCGTATCGTGTGTGAAAAAACAATTGTATTCCGAACCTCTACACCCAGCAATTCACGCACAAAAGGCTTGAATAAGAATCACTGGAGCAAGCGGGGCAACAAGTCACCTTGACCTTTGGCTCAATAAGAAACTACATAGTTTAAGTTACCTGACAGAGAACGCGGTCGGCCCCCGTCATCGCGGCAGGTCGGGTTTGGGGTCTTTTGATTGCTTTTTTGATTGAGAGGGTTTGAGGTATAAATGTTTTCTGTTCCTTGGCGGCTTGCACCTTGTCCTTGTGGTTTAGGTAGGACCTAGGGTTTGGGGGTTTGTGTGATTTTGGCGTGAAGGTTGTAGGGCTTGGGGCTTATGGTTGGTTGGTTGGTTGGTGTGTGTGTGTGTGTGGCTTTGGGCTTTTGGATCTAAGGGGGGTCTTTGGGTTTAGGGCTCTAGGGTTCAGGATGAGGGATTGGTGCGTTCTTTACTTTGAGGGCCTTTGGTTGAAGAGTCTTATTTTAGGCTGTTGGATCCCGGCTTGTACCATATTGGCTCGCCTCATATGTGGTAATCGTCTTCATGATCCACACTGAAGAGGACCGACAAACAACACGGAAAGCACATGAGTCCTGGAGTTTAGGAACTTGGCTGCAGGTCGGGCTCGCCCGAGTCGTGATCAAAACCAGGTATGAACACACAAAGCCGTAAAGCTGCCTTTACGCGTGTTTCTGCTCACCCTTCTTGCCAACATGGAACTTACCAGAAGGTCCATTGACAAGCATGATCTGCAGTGAGGGTCCATGTTAGTTGGTGAGATGCTGCCTGGAGTCTCCATGACCCCTGAACAATGAGGTCAAACCCCCATTTGACTATGACTATGACTCTAATTAAAAAGAGGCCATGCAACTCCAGGTGCTTCCGAATTTCCCTGCCTTGTTGAGGGTGTCCTCTTTTCGCTTCAAGGCCTGCAAAAAAAAACATCCGGGGCAACTCCAGACCGAAGCGGGCCTTTTGGGGCTGCAACAGGAAACCAAATCAATACCATCCATTTCGGCGTCTTAAGACAAAAGGAATGCAGTCTTGCAGAAGGGGTCCACCCTGGTTGGTGGGAGGGCAGATTTCCTTGAGGTGTCCCTTTGAAACAAACTGAAACACGCCATTATTATGCAAGGCTGAAATATGTGTCCAGCCCTCCCCTGCCTCCCAGCAAAGCCCCTTTACAACTTGCCTGCAACAAACCGCAGCTTGCATGATGTAGCAGGAGTTGCCTCAACATCCTTTTGGGCAGATTGGTACAAGTTCAAGACTTGAAATAAGGGACCCCTCTCCGTTTGAGCACCTTCAGAATGGAAACTTTCCATCAAATCGGTGAGCCGCAGCTTGTAGTCACCAATCAAAGCCAGTCGGTGTACCAAAATGGGCAGCCCCGACCCTGTTGAGGTCCGACCCCCAATACAGAAGCGGGGTGAAAATGACGCCAACATGTTGTGTCTGCCATGAGACTTTGGCAAAACGAAGCTAAGGGCATCACTATGTATATATTTATATTGTATCTATACGGTCTATACGTGTATATATCCATATACATATATGGATAATCATCTTCCGCAAAGGGGTCTCTCAGCATGCGGCAGCCCCCTTTAACTGGGGTGGTCTTTGACCCCCTGCAAGGGTGGAAACAGTCCTTTTCCAAAGGGTTGAAAGGTTAAAGGCCGACCGAAGAGCTGCCGAATTGGAGTTAGACCAAACACACGCACCGATGTCCTGTGTTTTTTGTGTCCAAAACTTTGTCCAAATCTCAAGTCCAAAAAGCAGAGGTTGAGGGGTGATGTTAGCAGTCCGGATGTTGAGTTGTTCAAAAGGTCATGTACCCATCGCCGGGCCGGATCAGTCTGTTTATCCAGGGCAAATACAATCCCTGGTTGAGACAAGCACAGGTGTCCCACTTAAGAGGCGGGTCGGGATTACTTTTGGGGTAAGGTTTCTGAATCTGGGGTCAACCCCCATGATGCCCCCCAGTTCACCCTCCTAAACCCTTGTAATTGGGCCTAACCAGCGATCACTGCCAAATCTAAGCACTATGGCGCCTCTTCCTTGGCGTCGAGGAGCTTCAGCTGCTCCAGATTCTCCTACAAGGCCCACTAAGGGATCAGGCGTCGAAGCACTTTCTTGGAGCTTAGGGTTGTGGAATGCCTTCCTCCGGACATCACCCTTTCAACTTCACATGGACCTTGACGGGTCCTGGCCGGGTTTGGGAGGGAAGTTGTTTCCGGTGTCCTGCGGCACCATTTTGGACGCTCCGGTTTTCTGTCCATTCAGCTCGAAGGCGGAGCTTTCTATCGACTCCCACAGCCGCTTGTGGGCGACTCACAGAGAGGCAACTTTGGCAGCGGCAAGGCGCTTGTGAGCAAGTTCTGTTTGTGAGACCCCCCAACCTGTTCAATTGTGGACCTCTAGAGGAAAAAACAAACACGAGGCAACAGTTGGGTCCAAAATGAGGTTGCGGGCTCAAAACAGAAAATCTGGCTACGGCGACTCATTGGCTGCTTTCAGGCTCGGCAATAAGAACACGTGTAGCCCATCTCGCTCAAGGAGAATGGCGCGGACACGCTTTTCACTCTCGGGCAACTGCCCAGACCCCGTGACAATGGGAAAAAGGGCACGTTTTTGTTTGCTGAGTTTGAAGTGAAGGGAAAGCAACTGGAGGTCTGGGCAACTACTTGAAGTATGTCTCTTCCTCATCCTCCGTCAAGATGGCAACGCAGCCGATATCATCCTGGGGAAAAAGCGGGATTTTGGTCGGGGCGCGGTCCTTCTTTTTTGTTCAGTCAGTGAGAAAACTGAGAACTTCAAGTCCTGCTTCTCTCTGCACTTGCGAGGATCTTGTGCATTTATCTCACATCTTTTGCCTGCAATCTGCCATGTTCAGGGACCCAGACCCCCCTCCCCTCCTGAACACTTCAGTAGGGGCTTAACAAGACTCCATATAGGTGGGAATAAGAATTGATGGTTGGGGGGCTTTAAGGGGGGGGGGTTGGGTCCCTGACGCTGCCAAAGGTTTCGCAAGCAATCTGTATATTTCAGAGAACATGTCAGGCAGCCCTCGCTCCCTTCCACAAGCCGCTACTAGAACCCCCATAGCCTGCAGGAGGGGAGCGGGACCTACCAATGATGCCAACCACAGACTCAGGCCAAGTTGAGGGTGTTCCGTTTTTCTAACGAATCATTTGTTGGGAATAAACCGCACTGAACACTCCCCTTCCAGATCACCAGCGGTGCGCGCACTCAGCTGCGGTTGCAAGCCGCCTACCGCGGTGCCGATTTTCTTCGCTGTCCGACCCTTCCACTGGATCACGTAGCCACCTGTGCACAGGCGACATGTGGTCGGCTCGGAATGGAGCTGTTCAAAGTATGGAGCCCTTTTCGGACCCGACTTGAAGGCTGGCTGTTACTCAGGGGCAAAGAAAAGTAACAAGCAAATCCACCTGTCCCCTTCGGGTTTCCAATTTGGAACACTTGACAAATCATTGGCTATTCAGCACCCAGCAAGGCAGCACCCAAGAGGCACCTTGACAGTCCATGGGAGCGTGATCTTCGCACCTGGGAAGGGACCAAGTTGGTGTCACCCTGCCCATGCTGCACATGTTGGTCTATTTGTGTTGCAACCGACTTCTTTCAGGTCATTGGGTCTTTAGGGTTTCAGTCTGACTAGTCTGCAGAGTGACCACGAAGTTTCTATTTTGCAGGCCCACACTGATTCAAACCATGCTCCATATGCCCTTGCTCCCACCACACGCCCCAAGCATTTTTTCGTGCAAACAGCCGCACAGGTGCTTCTGTGATACCATGGAATCAACAGCCTTGCCCTTTCACTTTTATGTAAGCGAGGGAGTTGGGGGAACGATTTGGCGGAACAATTTTCCCGGTACCACAGAAGAGAACCAAGCCCTGATTCGCGCTGAGGCCAGGGAGACGTTACCACACCAATCAAAGGCTTAAAGGGCCCTGTTGAGTTTTCCGTGGTTCCACCCTTTTCCACGTTCCACCGCGCCTGTCCCCATCCAATAGCCTTCCGCTGCAGTGGGGGTAACATTGAGGCCCGTTTTTGCAGGCCGAGACGGACTTGGAGATCTTGGTGACCTGTCGAGCGGAGCCCGAAAATCCGAGGTTCCACAACCAAAAACACTGCTGCCTCTCGCGGCTAAAAGGGTACTTCTTTTGTTTTTGAGTTGGCACCCTTTTCAGGTTGATTCCAAGGAAAACCATATTTTCCGGGCCTCCCTTAATTTGACCAATAATTACCAAAATCGCAGTTGCACACCTTTTCTTTCTCCCCAAATAACTGAAAGCTACTGTATAGGGGTTTCAACTTCTAATTCCTCAGATAGCTGAAAGCTAAAGGGGTGCCAACTTCTAATAAAGGGGGGAAAGTGATTTGCGAGATTGACGGACTGGTGCCAGGGGACGTGCAGATTGGGGTGCTGGTGTAGGTGTTTGGGGTGCTGTTTGTGGTGCTGTTCGGGGTGATGGTGTGGGCGCATTTTTGCGAGATTACGGCAGGGTGCAACGGGGCATGCAGTTGAAGTGCTGGTGCTGTTTTGGGATGCTATTTGGGGTGCTGTTGGGGGTGCTGTTGGGGGTGCTGGTGACGGTGTGGGCGCATTTTGCAAGATTGACGGCCGGGTGCTGTTTGGGGTGCTCTTCTGGGGTGCCGATAGAGGTGCTGGTGTGCAATCATCGGCGTATTTGTCTCTATCTGGGGTCTATGCTAATGTGAGTTATGCTTTTATTGTTGTTGTTAATTAATGCTTTTTTTTGTTGGGGGGGGGCAGGGCAGTGGCTTGAGGGCAGCGCAGACCCTCGGGGCTGGTGTTGATTGATCAGGCTTGCCTGCTTTACCCTCCCACCCATGAGAGATCCCTTTCAATCACAGTGTTTTTAGGGGGATTACCTTGGTATCAAGGAAATCTTAGTCAACAAGACTCCCCGAGCCTGGCATTGCGTATAAGTTCCGCCGCAGCCGTGGAAGACGTTGTAGCAATCTCCGCCCGCCTGACTTCTCAGCTGCTCGCAAATCGGAGAAAAAGGCACAGCCACGGCCAAGCAAACGTTCCTCAAATGCGTCGCACTCTCCGCTTCGAGCCCCCTGCGAGCTCGCAGGGCTTGTCGTCTTCGCCGCGGCAGGGCAAGCGAGTGCCGTTGCACTGCTGAGCCTGAAGACGCCAGCGAAACGGCGCGGGGTTCATCGAAGACCCAAAGGGACTAAGCAAATGAGCAACGAATATGCAGATAAGAACCAGAACCGCCCACAACTAATGCTCTGCCTCATGTCCAAAAGTCCCAAGTGTTGTCCAAAAAGCAGGGGGGCACAAACCCGCGACCCAATGAGCCAGTTGGCGCTGTTTCCAAGCACCAGCCAGGGTCCCTTGGGTTTTTGAGGGGTTAAAAGGGCTCGAAGTCCTCCTGCTCTAAGTTGATACAGGTTCAACCAAGCCCGCGGCGATCATCACGCTCTTCAGCTGCTCGGCCTCCTGAACGAAAAACCACATGGTTATAACGGCTTACATAAGCCTTGCTATAACCTCATGAAGCCAGATCATCCACTAAACTGGCCAAATGCTTTGGGGTGCTCACTAAGAGAGTTGCTCACAGCACTCACTGGACCAGAAAGTTGCTCACTTCCGGCGCGCCTTTCGGGCTTTGGCACGGCTCTTCCAGTAGTCGGCATACTTCTCATGCCAAGCCTGGCAGATATTGGTTGACTTTTACTGCGAAAGGGTTTGTCAAACAGGCCCAAACCCACCAACAAGAGAGACAGTTGACAACCCCCACTCCCAAGAGCACAGCAAGTCAGCCCCCCCCGTCTAAATCAGCAGGCCTTGAACCCCTGGTGCATCCAAAGCGAGCAAAAAACAGACCAGATTTTGGGTCTGCCTAGGCCCATGATGATGGCCGTGGACGACTGGACGACGGGCATCGGCAAGGGTCAACCAGGTCGGGCCACGAAGAGTTTGGTCTCCGTGGCGTAGGGCATGCCATCCTTGTACCTGAGGTTAGCCCAGAATCCCTACCCTTTGAGTTGACGGGCTTGGGGGGGGGGCTTTCAGGGTTCACACGCATGCAGATTCAGGAGCCAGCCATGTGGATCGCCCTGATTTTACCTTCTCTGTCGACTAGAAAAAGGGTTTCCAGCCATCTGGCGATCCCCGAGATCTAAGCAGTTTGAGATTTCCGTTCCCAGCATCGTTGCGAGCTGAAACTATGCCGTTCCTTCCAGCAACGGAGGTAGGCAACGGGGAAACCGGGATGTACGTGGAGGCAAAGAAAAGTGGGCTGGTCCACAAAAGGATCTTCCTCCGCACATTGGCGTTCTTTGGGCAACGTGTGATTAAAAAGAATCAAAGCAAATCCTGATCTCCCTTGCAGGGACACTGACAGCAGGTAGTTTTAACAATGGTATGAACATGCTGAAACAGGTGGTTGGCCCAACCCTGGTTTAGAGTCTTCATGCTGAGGTCGAGCGAACAAGAGGGTTCGAGATATGTCTAGGCCCCAAAAAGCGAACATTTTGCGGGATTCTCAAAATTGTGTTTGGGGGGGGGGGGTGATTTCCCTAAAACCAATCAAAAGGGCAAATTTGGATGTCACTTTAGCAGACCCAGAATTTCAGGGGGCACTGTTGCTTTTCGAAACAGCCTTGTCCACCCGTCACTTAGAACCAGAAAGTTTGGCGACTTCTCGGCCCCAAAAAGTTAAACTATGCTCGACAGCCCTCTTAACAAGCCCTGAAAAGACAATCATAGCTTCCTATGAACCTGCTCGCACATCTGAGGCGCCCGCATTCGCATGGTGTCCGCACCAGTGATACCGACAGCATACCTTGGGGCTTGCCATGACCAAACTGGACCCAACATGGACCCAGAGGTCAGAGGTGGATTCGCCTTCGGCTGAGAACAGCATGCCTGTTGGAGAAACTTGACCCATTGACCCTTTGACCGGCAATTTTGGTCGACACTTTGTTCGCGCGGTTTTTCGTTGCTCACAAAGAGGGGTGCTTAGGAAGCAAACATCATCACTTCAGCCGAAATGGATGTCTCCGTCCCCGAAACAAGTTCCATGACATTCTAAAGGTTGGGGGAGCATTCCCTTCTTGTCACTGGAGTCACGAATCCAAAGGTTACCAAAGGATCTTGTCTAGAGATGGGAACTCAGATTGGCAACCCTCGGTTTAGAACAGCCCATATGTCCCATCGGGTGTTCTTGCAGGAAACCATGTGGACATCGTTTGTATGGGGATCGCCCACCAACCGTTTTGATGGGGTTCAAGCTATGATTTTAGCGAGTTCCCCAATATCCCGACCCCTTCAAGTACTCCCCGCAATTTCACATGGAACCCAAAGATGGGTCCTGCCCATTTTGGAGACTCCACCTCCAGAAATGACTGGATTCCCCCAAAACTGATGTAGTCCCTCCAAGCATGGATTGATTCCTCCAACCATGAATCCATTCCTCCAAAACGGATTTGTTCTGCCATATTCATCAACCAGGGTCAATTCAATTCTGGACGTTCTGTTAATAATATGCATCAATCCTTCTCTTGGCCTTTTTCTGGAGTACAGCAAACACAATTTCTGATTCTTCATAGTAGGCCTAACCCCTAGTTCTGAGGGTGAATTGTTTGACCATACCCCAACGGGCAACCGGGGGCCCCCGCTTCAGGAAGGCGGTGGGGCTACCGCTCTCCTTCTGGCTCGGTCCACCGCCTATCGAGTTGCATTGCGCAGCGCTTCTCAAATTGGACCAATGCCTCGTGGTTACTCTCAAGGCGGCTTCCCTTTGTTAAACCATCCAAAAAGGGTTCTTTCTTTTTTGAGACAGACCCATATTATGGTTTTGCTTGCTCCGCTTGAAAACAGCTCAGGGATGCGGGGGTGATTTTTGCTATTTATATGGCTTTGTAGCTTTCTGAGCATCAAACTTCTTAGTTTGCGGGGCAGAGCCGCGATCAAAGCTGAGATGTGTGCACAACTGCTTCAGTACCCTCGAATTTTAGGCTCGGACGAAGGGATCAGGCGTGATATGAACCCTTGGACCAGCTTCCCAAAGGGTGATTGGCGCCTACTTGCCTATCTTCACGCTGGCTTCCGCAACAACATCAAGCGTTACAACAATCGGAAATGTTCAGGGCCCAAGAGTCTAAGAGTCGTTTACGCCCCTTCAAATGTTCTGAAGGAACCCCAAAAAGGGGGTGTCCCAAAGGAGATTTCTCGAAAAATGTATGGTTTCGGGGTTCTATGTTAGTTTGCAGAGGTCCGCCAACATGCTTTAAGGTACTCTTTTTGGGTTGCCCCAAAGGGAAACTAAAGGGAAACCACTTTCAAGGGGGAGGGGGGGGAGGGGGGCATTTTGCACATATAAGGAAACTAAAACGTCGATGTTAAAATGCGTGATCAAACCATGGTGTAAACAGATGGCCAAACCCTGGCCCTGCATACCACAAAGGTCCAATTACAGCTTGGGCATAGGAAAGGACACAGGCATTGCCTGTGGGCATACCAGGAAAAACTACTCAGGGGCACGTCCGGCCAGTAAACGTGTGGGCTTCCCTTTGAAGCGCGGGTTCGCCAAAACAAATTCATGAAAAAAACAACAATTTGCCAGTTGCCACTGGAAAAGGAACTGACAAATAGATCCTAGCGCGAGTGGTTGTCCGCCCAGAAAATTGAATGTAGATGTGTTTGTGTGTGTGTGTGTCCTGCAAAGGGATGAGGGCCCCTAAACTTCAAGGGAAGTGGCCATTGATTGGTCAGAGAGACATGCTAACTAGTAAAGATAGTTCATTCAGTCGGGGAGGAACCCTTCAGCCAATGGCAGGTGTGCATTGGGAAACAAACGCCGGTTCCCCGGTCCCCGGTTTCATGTTCGGCATTCGGAACACCTGGCTCCAGCGGGCCTGCCGCTGCATCGAAGGGGCACTCTGAGAAGCCCCGGCAGTAGCCCTTCCTCGGATTTTGGTGATTTGCTTTTCATTCCAAAGCAACTTTGGAGGGTGTGCGTGGTGTGTTTGGGGAGTTCCCAAAGGAGGGATTGTCAGGGTTCCATCTATATCTCCGTTTCAAACATCTCCATTGGGGAACCCCGAGTCACAATCCCAAGCCAGTCTTCTTTATGGTCTACCATGGTCTACCCGAATCCGCGGAAAGCAAAAAGACTGACACCCGCACCAATTTCTGGCGCCATCGCCAAGGCGCTTCTTCACGTTGCAGATGCGGTAGAGGCCCTGGAAGTCGGACCAGTCATCTGGGATCACGCACTCGGGGCAGTCCTGGGTGTTCCCCCTTCCTGGACCTGAAATTAGGATCGGGGGACTTCGGCCAAAATTGGCGATTTCCGTCGGGGGAAACACTGGTGGTGCGTCCCCCTAGTTCTTGTGGGCAATTTCCAGTTTGAGCCCCGTGTCCCAGGTTCACCATGGACTCGCCAATTTGACCGAACCTCTAGCGATTTCAAGGGCCAGCAACGCTCGCCAGCCTGTCCTTCTTGAAGCCCTTGATGAGCTTCGAACCTTGGTGTTCCTCTCACTCAAATCGAGGCGGGGACTGGGTAGCGAGGGGGGTTGCTTTTTCCATGGCAATCACTCTCAAGTGTCTCAAGTCCTGGCAGCTCCCACCATCATGCACACCCTTCCCTAGTCCCTTCTGTGTTTCTACAGCATGATTGACACCAGTTCCATTTCCCTAGTCCAAGCGAGCACTCCATCTGAGGCAGGCGCGCTCAAAGTCAGGCTGCTGCTTCTCCAGATCCGCACACTTGCTGCTTGGATCAAACGGATTGGACTCTTGCCTCGGGTCGGTGCTCCCCAGAAATCAAGCGGCTAGAGGTCCCGACTTTTTTATATGGTGTTGGTGGGGCGGGGGAGGGGGGGGGAGAAGAGGTCGGTTGGTACCTTCAAGGCACCCTTCGGGTAGGGTTGCTAGCCATTTAGACAACCCGGAGACCATCTAGAATACGGTTACACATGGGTGACGTCAAAGGTGCTCAAAGGACCTGCATGATGTCCATCAGTCAGATACGTCCGAAGGACTCGCCTGACAAAAAGGAGGATCACCCCCAGAACAGGTGAAAGCTTTTGGGTAATGCTAAGCCCAACATCAGCGACAAAGCGGGGAATGGCCCCCGTCAACGCTCATCTCCGGCTCTTCAGCGGGGCGATTCAGCGGTTTGACATGTTCAAGCCACTTGCCTCACCAAGCGTCAAGGTTTTCTGAGGACCTTTTGGGTCCGCTTGCCCTCCAGACTCCAGACTAGCATGAAACCCAGAAACATACATCTGTAGCGGGCATTTGCAGGGGAGTTGTCCCCACTTTTGCCTTGCCAAGCGACTCCCAAACCGCAAAGGCGGTCCCGGTGGTGTGGACGAACTCAAGCTTGAACCTCGGAAGCTTCACCATGGCTCCGCAACCTGATCACCATATGTCCCAACCCCCCTTCTCATCCCTGCTGGGTTTCTTACAAAGTCACTGCATGAGGCCGCAGTCAATGTCTCTACTTCTGTTGTTCCCCACACAAATGTTGTACTATTCAAGAAAAGACTCCGTCAAATGGCCAAAGTGCATTGCAATCCTTCCAAAAACGGGACATGCTGTGGACAACACCACCCAGAATAAGATGAAACCATAGACATCTTGTAATCAACTGCAGGGTGTAGCCCGTCAGTAGCCCGAAACGATGCCGAGGCGTGCGCTTGAACTTGCCAGACTTCATCCTGAGGCACCGCTCGAGTTCGGCTTGGACCCTAGCGGAAACCGAACCCTCAACCCTCAGGTACCTTCATGAAAAGCCGGATGCGGTTTGGATGCGGAATCCGTTTGATCCACTCCGGAATGAAAACATATTGAAATAGTAAAAAAGCACTAAATAGGCAGCAGCTGAGGGAGCTTCGGGAGGAAAGCGGCATCCAACCCGTTGGGTGCGTGGATAACCATATCATTGAGCGAAGGATGCCAGGATCCGCTGAAAACTCCTGCGAAACACATTTCAGCCATGGAGTTGTCAAGGTTTTTCCAGGCCTTCACGATGACCCCAATGAATTCAGCCGGGTTTGGGTTGGGCCGGGGGTGCAATGACCGCCCAAGAAAATGTGGAACTCGGCAACCCCCACCCCCCGGCTTGTGGTTGGCATGTTCAGCTCCAGGCTGTGGTAAAGTGGCCCTCACCCGTAGTTTTGCCAGCGACCAACTTGGAGTCATGGCCGCGTCTCAGAAAAGTGGCCAGGATGGTCAGAAACCCCTATGCATGGTGGGGAACTACTCCGTCCAGAGGAAGACAGAAAGGCTCTGGAGAGGCCATGGGCAATTGCTCAAGGACTACCGCTGCCCGGGTTGAGCATCCTTCATCCCACAGAGTTCAAGCCGTGCCCTTGGATTGCATCCCAAACCGAACTGGATGAAGTTCACCCGGTACCGTGTCTCACCCATAGTTTTCCCATCCCATCCGTTGACAAAATAAATGGGCTCAACCCCTGCAGAAAGGAGCCGGCACATGGGCACATGTGCTGCCCACAGGTGAGGTCAACCCAAATGGCATCGAAATCCGGCCCTCTTTTTGACGACCCAACCAAAGCCCCCTATTACGGCTGGACTCATCGCACACTGAGCCCACGGCTTCAGTTCTCCAACCTCCGACAGGATGCTGTACTTGAAATGCCTGGAAAAGCTCATGAACGGCATCCTTCGTAGAGAAACTTACATGCATTGCCCTGTGCTCTTCATGGTTGTGGGAAAATTACCCTTGTGATATCAAAGTGGCTGATTCCCATGACTACTTCTTCGCTTGAAAGGGCATTCATTAGCTGGAATTAATTACGGAATCTGTCGCAAACACCAAAGGACGCAGGGCAAGACAAAGCCGAGAACTCAAGGAGGTCAAGCAAGTAGTCAGTGACTGTGGTTATAAACCCAGGGCACTGGCTTCCGCCCTTCAAACCAGCCAAAACCAGGCTCCACTTCTCCCACATGCCCATGTTTGCCATGCTTAAAGTCCTGAAATGCAAATATGGTCATCGCTCCCTGACTAGGAATCCTTCTATTGGTGGCCGTAGTCCTGATTGAAGGGTTGATGACCGGCCCCAGTCACCTCAAGTGTTTGGACCATGGCGTAAATGATCAACTTCAACATCATGGGTGTGAATAAAATGCAGCAGACATCAGAAAGGACTGTTTATCAACAAGCAGCCAGCGTGGTTGATAGCTCACTTTGTGGTTTTACTAACCAGGCACAGAAGCCCGGTTCCCAGGTCGCGGTGGGAAACAAAGGGATAAAGGGTGCCACTGTCACCAAGCACAGAACAAGTGCCATAGCTCTGAGCCCAGCTACAGAACACTTCAACCTGCTACACGAGTGTGCTCCAGTCATGGGTCCGAAAGAATGCAGCTAAAAGCCCTATGAAGATACTCACCATCCCTATAAAGCCTGGCTAAAAGGACAACCATCCATTTTGTAGGATCCCCTCGTATGGGTATATATATATGGGTATATCGTGGTAAACCATTTGTTTGAGGGTGCCCATTCGCCTTTTGGGTTTCAATGAACGCATCTCTAAGGTCATCACGACAAAAAGGAAACTCTCCGAAACTTGGTTCAGAGCAATAGCTGAAGAGGCAGACACAGGGACACCAGACAACGTATGTGTGATGTTCTTATTTCTCAATCTGAATATATATGCTGATACATATATATATATATATACATTAAATATTTAGTGTCATTACATTTAATCCAAGCAAATCAAACCCTTGCAAAGAACAGCCAAGCGTTGCGTTAGTGCAGCCGTGGTGCGTCTCGCCGTCCTGGGAACTGCGCGGAAACACGTGTTTGTTTCCCTGTGTCAAACACCGACCCAAGATCAAACATCAGCACCGACAAGCCTCCTTGAAAGGCGGCGCAAGAAGGGTCGCCCGTGTCTTTTGGTCAAATGAGCCCGGAGTTGTTCGTTGCCGAGCTTCGGATGCCACGTAGTGCATCACCTTGTCATAATTGTGCACCTGCAAGGAGCCAAGTACGCAAGGCGCCAGTCGGGTCTCAGTCTCAGGGTCCCAAAGTAAACTCATACAAGGTCGCCAATCATAGGCACCCCGGTCACCCTTGCTAAAAATGATCAATTCTGTTATGTTCAGAAACCGGCCGGCGAGCTTTAAGGACTTCCGTGTGTTCGATTAAAGTTGGCAAGTGGACAATGCTTTGGGTCGATCGAATCAGTTAGCTCAAGTCGCTTGTCGAGTGTCAAGGGTGCCTTGTCTCATGGTTTAGGGTGACCCTTTTGACAAGCACGTTTATGGAGCAGGTTCATCATAAAACAAATAATCCGATAACACTCTTACGGGGGGGAATCCAGACATTTGTTTCAACAATATAGTCCAACAAGGACAACCCTGTCATGACTCAACAGTGCCGTACAACGCAACAGGGAATTGGTGGGCACCCTCACTGGCACAATTGAACAACTCTCAAACGATGTCCAACATCCAGAACAAAAAGATAAGAAGCAGCCCCCCAAAGCCCCCTCTCGCACCATTCAGGCCTCACTTGGTCTCATTTGACTCTATTTATTGTGTTTGCCCTACGAAGGCAAAAAGTCGCATCCTAAGGACGCCTCATTGCCTGAGGGAAACTAACCCCACCTTGTCAGGTGAATTGATCAACTCCCCCGCCGGAATCAGGTCCCAAAGTCAAGCGCCTGGAAGGTCCACGCGTACTTGTTCCCGTGGAACCCCCCGCGCAGGTCCTGGCGAAGCGACGGTTCCGATCGACACCACGTCTTATAATTTATAGTGCATCAGGCATCGGTTTTTGTTCGTTCTGGTGACTGTTTTCTTTGGGCAGGGAGAGGGGGAAATCCAACCATATTTTCATGTGCTAGTTTGTTTTGTTCGGAGGGGCGGGCAGGGTAGAATACTATTCTTTCTGGGGGATGGAGAAGCATGTGTTTCTTTGGGGGAGTCGGACAGTTAAACGGGAGGGGGGGCATGTGTTGCTTCTTGGCTCATGTTGTGTCCAAACTTTTGTTCTATGGATCGACGGGATGACCCTGGGTCAGCCTGTTTAGAGGTTGCTTTTGCGGGAAGCCAAAAAGCATCCGTGCATATTCTATGAGGAGATAAGCAGGAGAGAAACGCATGCATGTATGGGTGTTTATTATTTTTGTATGTCTACATTCATATACCCTCCCTCCCATATGAGCCTGAGAGCTCCCTTTCGCGAACTCTTCTGCCAGGTTCGCTTAAGTACTGCGAGAGTGGGTGTGCACATATCTACACATATATGTATGTATAATGTCATGTATGGATTACTTCAGGGGCCAGTTCACTGGGTCAAAGACTGAATGCATGGCCTCACATATGAACTCTCACTTTGGTGGTTAAGTCAACTGTTTATGGCGTCATGCTGAGAATGCAGCCGGGGCCAAATTTGCCCTGGGCTCGCATATGGACGCATACAATCAGCCTTTGACAGAGCATCATGCTGTATGCCCCCTTGCCTGCTTCATCACCATCTTCCAGGGATCTGGGTGGCCGCGGCGCGGGTGCGACGAGCAAGGGCTGACACTGCAAAGGGAAACACGGGTTGCAGTGTTCACCTGCGAAGAAGCACGTAGGCAATAACTTAATAGTTTAGCGCTCACTGGGTCCATCAAAGCGTTTCAAAATTACTCTCTAAATGATGGTTCAAATGTAAACACCCCAAAAGACGTGTTTCGTAACCCTGTCAATTTATCAATTTCGTGGACCCCTAGCAACTGAGATTAAGCCCGGCACTGCGGAAGGTCTTCCTTTCCAGCGCCTCCTGTTCCAGGTGGTTCCACGGGAAGATCTGGGCAAGGCACACGGCCGGTGCTTGAAAACCTTGTAAGCGATTTTATTCGAGGACATGGACATACAGTTCTCATTTGCTCGCTGAAATTCGGCTGCCAGAGCTTTCAGGAGTCTTGCAGCCTCTCAGAGTCTTTCCACTCGGATGAATCACAGTCCAAACAAAACCAATTTTTGTTGAATATGGCTCTCTCCATTGGTGTTGTTTTTGGGAAATAGATGGCCCTGTCTGTCAGCAGGTCATCTATTGTTCTACCAAAACAACCAAAAAAGGGCACCTATGGCTCTCTCTCTCTCTCTCTATCTCTCTCTCTCTCTCGATCTATCTATGTATCCGCCTTGCAAAGCACGGAAATTGCAGCGGCAGAACTGTCAAGCAAAACCTCAAACCTGCTTGGACGATGATTCCATGTTGCAAGTGAACCAATCGCAACCAACCATACAATTATCATTATAAGGTGCGGTAGCTTGTAGGGCCTTTTTTAGTTGTCTCAAAATCAGAGCGTGTTGGCGATCTGTGTCGCTAAACTGCTTTGCGCTGTTGCGCTGCTGCGCTGCTCGCTGCTGCGCTGATGACTTTGCGCCGCTCTGCTGTTGCGCTGCTGCGCTGCTTTTCTGCTGCACCGCTGCGCTGTTGCGCCGCTGAAGCCGCCTCCGTTGACGTGCGCCGCTGCGCCGTTGAGCTGCTGCGCCGTTCCGCTGTTGCGCCGTTGCGTCGCTGCACCGCTGCGCCGTTGCGCCGCTGAGCCGCTGCGCCGTCGCGCCGCTGCGCCGTTCGCGGTTGCGCTCTTGCGCCGTCGCGCTGCTGCGCCGTTGCGCTGCTGCGCCCTTGCGCCGCTGCGCCCTTGCGCCGCTGCAACGCTGCGCCGCTGCGCCGTTGCGCTGTTGCGCCGCTGCGCCGTTGCGCCGCTGCGCCGTTGCGCCGCTGCGCCGTTGCGCCGCTGCGCTGTTGCGCCGCTGCGCTGTTGCGCCGTTGCGCGTTTGCACCGCTGCGCTGTTACGCCGTTGCGCGGCTGCGCCGCTGCACCGCTGCGCCGCTGCGCCGTTGCACCGTTTTGTTGCGCCATTGCGCTGTTACGCTGTCGCGCCTTGGCGCATTTGCGCCATTGCGCTGTTACGCCGTTGCGCTGTTGCGCCGCTGCACTGCTGCGCTCTGCCGTTGCGCTGCCGCGACGTTCTGCTGTTGCACCACTGCGCTGTTGCGCTGCCGCGCCGTTGCGCCGTTCCGATGTTGCGATTATCCTACCATATCCTGCCGTATGCTGTCCAATCCTGTCTTATCCTACCTTCTCCCATCTTCTCCTATCGTATCCTATCTTCTTCCATGTGTCTATCTATCTATCTACATAGCTATCTATCGAGATATCATATCTGTCCTATCTTTCCTGTCTGTCCTTTTTGTCTTGTCGTATCAAGCCTATCTATGTTGTCCATATTACCTATCTGGTCTATCTGTTGTGTCTTATCTGCCTTGTCTCTCATGTCGATCATGTCTATACTACCTACCTTATCTACCTTACCTACCAAATCTTATCTTATTATACATTATCCTGTCTTATCCTGTCTTTCCTATCGTATCCTGTATTGTCCTATCTTATCCTATATTATCCTGTAGTATCCTATCTTGTCCTATATATCCCATGTTGGCCTATCTTGCCGTGTCTTATCCTATCTTAGCCTATCGTATCCTTTGTATAAATCGAATTATCTATCTATAATACATCTATCTATACATCTATGTATCAGTCAATCCTGTCTTGCCCCATCTTATCCTATCTTACCCTATCTTACCCGACCTTATCCTATCTCATCCTACCTTACCCAAAATAATCCTATATTATCCTATCTTACCCCGTCTTCTCCTCTCTTATTCTATCTTATCCCATGTTATCCTGTCTTATCATGTCTTATTCTGCATGTCCCTATCTTAACCTATCTCATCCTATGTGCCTATCTATCAATCTACCAGCCTACCAAGCTATCCTATCTATCCTATCGTTCCTATCTATCTCATCGTATATGTAAGTCTTATCGCTCTTATCTATCATATCATATCTACCTTATCGACATTACCTACCTTGTCTTGTCTTCTCATATGTTACCTGTCTTACCCTATCTTAAGTTATCTTTCCTGCTTTGTCCTATCTTATCCCATCGCAGCCCTCGCATCCTATCTTACTCCATATTATCCTACCTTATCCTGCCTTACCCTATCTTGACATATCTTACCTTATCTTACCCAATCTTTTCCTATGTATCTATCAATCTATCTACCTATCTATCCTGTCTCCCCTGTATGTCCCATCTTTCCTATCTATCTCATCGCATGTACCTATCTGATCTATCTTATCTCTTACCTGCCTGATCTATCTTGTCTATCATGTCTATCCTATTTATCTTCTCTACCTTGTCTACCTTACCAACCTTTACATTATCCTGTCTTGGCCTACCTTAACCTATCTTATATTACCGTATGCTATCTTACTCTGCCTTATCCCATCTTGTCCTACCTTACCCCATGTTAGCCTATCTTGCCGTGCCTTATCCTATCTTATCCGACCGTAGCCTATCTTATCCTATGTGTCTATCTGTTTATCTATCATCTATCTACCCTATCTATCTGATTTTCTCCTAACTACCATATCTACCCTATCTTTCCTGCTTGTCCTCTTTATCTCATCGCGTCTATCTTATCTATTTGTCCTGTCTTATCTACCTGATCTACCTTACATGGCTTATCTACCTTGTCTATCATATCTATCACATATTTGTATATGCTGTCTACCTTATCTATCCTAGCTGCCTTATCTGATCTTATCACAAATTGTCCTGCCTTATCTTATCTGAGCCTATCTTATCCTGTATTTTCCCGTCGTATCCTATCTTATCATGTCTGATCCCATCTTATCCTGTCTTATCCCACGTTGGCCTAGCTTACCGTGTCCTATCCTATCTTGCCCTATGTACCTATCGATCTATCTATGCTATCTCTGAGACTGCTGGGGCTCAAAACACAAGTGATTGAAACATATTATTAACAACACAACCGCAGCGAACACCTGCGAAAACCACGAAAACGCGAACACCGCGAAAGCCCCCAAAACCGCCAAAACGCGAAAACCGCGAAAACCGCGAAAACCGCGAAAACCGTGAAAACGCGAACACCGCGAAACCGCACAAACATCGATTTTCTGGGTTCTTTGGGCTTTCTCGGTCTTCTAGGTTCCCTCTGTTTTCACGGCTTTCTCGGTTTTCTCTGTTTTCCAGTTTTCTTGGTTTTCTCGGTTTTCCGGCTTTCTCGCGCAAATCCGGTTAGCTCCGTGTCGCTCAAAACGGTTGCTTAGCAAGCTTGGCTGCCATCAGGTTTTCGCCTTCAAGCAAAGGAGGCAACCTACCTTTCTTTAAAGTGAGGTTTGCCCTCATAAACATGACATTTAGGCTGCTCATGCTATCTGAAGTACTCGGGAGTCAGTTAGCGATCGGGAACTCAGCTCTTAAAACGACCAAACTCGCTCTAGGAGAAACGGCCAATCGAGCGAAGCAACGGAGCAACGGAGCGGGGCAACGCAGCGCAGCAACGGAGCAACAGAGCGAGGCAGATCCGCGCAACAACGGGCCAACGGAGCAGAGCAACGGAGCAACGGAGCAGAACAGCTTTGCGGAACAGCGGGGGAACGGAGCGGAGCAACGGAGCAACGGAGCAACGGAGCAACGGAGCAACGGAGCAACGGAGCAACGGAGCAACGGAGCAACGGAGCAACGGAGCAACGGAGCAACGGAGCTTTGCGCCACCACGGGGGAACGGAGCAGAGCAACGGAGCAACAGAGCGGAGCAACGGAGCGGAGCAACGGAGCAACGGAGCGAAACAGCTTTGCGGAACAACGGGGGAACGGAGCGGAGCAACGGAGCAACGGAGCGAAACAGCTTTGCGGAACAACGGGGGAACGGAGCGGAGCAACGGAGCAACGGAGCGAAACAGCTTTGCGCCACCACGGGGGAACGGAGCAACGGAGCAACGGAGCAACAGAGCGGAGCAACGGAGCGGAGCAACGGAGCAACGGAGCGAAACAGCTTTGCGCCACCACGGGGGAACGGAGCGGAGCAACGGAGCAACGGAGCAACGGAGCGGAGCAACGGAGCAACGGAGCGAAACAGCTTTGCGGCGCAACGGGGGAACGGAGCGGAGCAACGGAGCAACGGAGCGAAACAGCTTTGCGGAACAACGGGGGAACGGAGCGGAGCAACGGAGCAACGGAGCGAAACAGCTTTGCGGAACAACGGGGGAACGGAGCGGAGCAACGGAGCAACGGAGCGAAACAGCTTTGCGGAACAACAGGGGAACGGAGCGGAGCAACGGAGCAACGGAGCGAAGCAGGTTTGCACGACACGTTTTGCCAACGCTCTGCAAAATCAGCATCCCCCCACAAACAAAAAACGAAGAAAACAAAAAAAGGCTGGTTTCCTTTCGGTCTCCTTGTACTAGCACACCCTTTGCTTTCCGCCACGCAAAGCCCGCGGCCTTCGTCACATCCCGGTATTTGGCGTACGGATCCTGCCGATGGATGCAAGCAAGCCTGTCATTGGCTTAAGGTGCCATCCAAAATTGACATACGCCTACGATTTGTCACGGACCATTTCTCTGTTCGCTTTTCAGGCCTTTTAAAGTGCGTGTTGACTCTTTTCTGGGGGGTGACAACTTCAACCAGCCGCGAAAAACACGAGGGAGAAGAAAAGCAAACCAGCGCTTTGAGTAAATTGAGGAAAACTGGCTGCCCTGGACAACAAACCGCTTGTGGCTCGAGTGCTGTGCGAGCATGGGCAAGCAACCAATCCTATCTGTGTCCCCATGGATATCGGACCATTGCTGGACAGATATGTGCTCAAAACTCCAGACCTTTGCTGGGTTAGTCCATGACCCCCTCCAAACAGTCGCACTGCTCGATTGGCAAACTGTCGTTCGTACCAAACAGCAGCCAAGTTCATACCCCTGACGCTTGCGAACTTGCAGTCCTTGGACTCAAAGACCAAGAACTCCTTCAAGTTCAGCACGCGAGTTCCGGGTAGTTGCACATAGACCTCAGTCGCTCCGTGCCCAAATTGGCGGTCTGTGTGCAAGCTACTCACTCAGCAGGAATGCGCAGCACAGCAATAGAACCAGGGCACTGGACAAGCAACTCGTTTGATGCGATCAGCTTCAAGTTGTGAGCTAAAGATTCTGCAAACAGAAGCGGGTATGTGTCAGAATAGGAGCTGGTGTCCCTTTAAAGCCACCCTAAAAAGGGATAGCCTCAAAAACACAACCCCAAAAGACACTGCCAAAGGGCATACCGCCCAGCAATGCCTGCACAATCTGCACCGTACCTCAGCACGGGTGATGCCACAGGCAGTTTCCCCACGAAACACTTGGCAAATGATTAGCATTCCTGAATTATAACTCCGGGGGACACACAACCAAGGTAAGCAGGTATGAGCATGGTCAGCGGTCCTTGAAGGGTACATCAAGAAACCACCTACTTTACGGGGGGGGGGGGGATGGGGGTCCCCTAAATCAGCTGGCAAAGGTAATCTTTAGAACGGCTCAAATGTGTCCTTTAAGGGCACCTGATACTGGCCATTCACAACGAAGCCACTAGTTCAGCGCCGGGCCAGGCAGCCCAAAGCTCAGCGGTACAGAATGGGGGGCGCAAAATTACCCCTATCAAAATGGGTGTCTCAAAACAGGAGATAGGCAAATCCAACGAATTGGTGTTGAATCCTTTGGCGTCCCTTTCACACCAAAAAAAATCAAAAGAAAGAGAAGTTGTACCCTCAAAAATGAACACCCCTCCATATAGGGATCGTGCTTCAAGGGTTTGTTTAAGTGGGTCTGTCTCGGCATCAACTTGCTTTCCACCAAAGGACTCTCAAAATATCTCAAAGTAAAAGCTCCCCCAGACCAGCAGTAAGACCAAAACGCGAAACGTTGATCTTTAGGCAGAGTCAACGAGACGGCTGCATTCAAGCGAGGAGCCAGGGTTGGTCGCTGTGCTTGTACGGCTTGCCGCAGGTCTTGCCCGTGCAGGACTCGCCTGAAGCTTTGCTGTGAGCGATCTCTTGGCCTGAAGTGGGGAGACCCCACTCCCAGAAGAAGACACACCCACGTGAAGCTCTTCGGGGTGGGAGGGCTGCCTGTAAAGGAACGGATCTGTGCCGAACATACGGGCAGTACTCTCCTGGATAATTCGCAGCTTGAGGTTGCTCCCAAAGAGAAACTAACTGAGCCGCAATGGTTTCAGAGAACCGCCCGTTGTGCGATAGACTAGTGCCACAACCGCCTTTGTGAGTCTTTGCGATAAGCTTTGGGTGGACTCGTTTAGGATTCGCTTGTCCAAAGCCCAAACTCTGCAACACTTTGGCGGCTGGAGGGACAGGTTTCGCCTTAACAAAATTCCCCATCAAAACCACCGGGTCTACTTCGTGGGCCGACGGAGGGAAGCCAAAGCCATCATTGGAAGCTCCTTTTTGGGTTCCATGTCAATTTGCAGGGGAGTAAATGTCAGGTGGCCCTCAAAACAGGTGCACCCTCAAGGTTTCGGACCATAGGAGTGTCCCAAGGAGTACCCTCGGATCCCCTGCCTTGCGGCGACTCCCCAAAATATTCGAAAAGGACAGCGTGGAATGATTAAATCTGGAACCAACCAAACTAAAAAAGACCATTCACAAAACAAACAACAGCATTCCCCAAGTAAGGTAAGGGGGGGCCTTCATGGGCTTGTGTGTGAGCTCGCTGGAATTACCTCAGAATCAACTGAGGTGGTTGCCACAGCGACGACTAAACTCGCGACCCGCGCCTTCGCAGGGCGTCTCCGAAACTCCGAGCACCGCGCCCGCGTGGTTGCAGTGAAGACCCGACAGGCCGCGCATGGCCACGCAGCCTGAGGAGAGGTGCTCCATAGACCCTTCCGTGGAGTCCGGAAAAGTTCAGGGGCTTTGTTTACATCCCAACTATAATCTTCAGAAGTAAAACCCTGTCATGCCTTGCTCGGGTAGACTCCATGAGGTGAGTCGTCAGAGATCGACATAACTCAGGCACTCGGAGGCAAATTAGACCCCTAAAGGCTAACAATTTCCGGGAATGTGAGGTCGACATGATTTGCCATGGAAGGGTCAACGCAAAATGGTTACTGCTCGAATATGAATTCCACAGGACCACCAAAGCGCAACATGTCGCCAGCTGGCATCAAGCCGAGTTCCAGCGCCTCCAAGAGGAATCCTGCACTTTAGGGCCACTATGGCCACTCATTTGTAGGGAATAGAACAGGCAAACTCATTACACATATGGGCTGTTTGTTTCTAGGGGGACTCCTGCCCCAAAAAAACAAGGCGGTTTCTCTTTTGGTCCCCTTTCAAACCAACCCAAACGGGGTACCCTCAATAAACGGCCTCCATGGTCAATCCTCCATGGTCAATCATGCTTCCAACAGATCTCGGTTCTACCAAGCTGGTTATCAAGGTTTATGGGAGCCTTGCGATAACGCCCCGTGAAACCAGGCAGTAGAACCATCTCAGTTGGGGATTTAGCGCTCACATAGTCTGCATAAAGCGGGCGAGAGGAGCTATCGGACTTCAGGACCTGCAGGAACTTGATCGGCTTGGAGCTGCCCAAATCGATCTGGAACCAGGGGTTCTTCTCCCCGTGGGCTGCGCGGCCGAAGTCGTGACCATTGGAGAATCAAGGCTTCTCCCATTCGACCCAATCTATTTGGTCGAAGCTTGGCTCGGGTCGCAAAGGGACACTGCAGGAAGCCATGCACCAATTTTCCTCCCTGCTGGTCTCGCTAGACCAAAACAGCCGGCAAACCACAAATCACACACCCCAAAGGAAACACGTCGAGTCGAGTCTGCGAGTGCGGCCTTGGGCCGCTTGCTTTCTCCCCAGCTGAAAGCCCTTGAGTCTCCGCACAAAGCTTTGGGGCGGTTTGGTGCAGCAGGTTTCGGGAGGGATCCCCGGCTTCCGGGGGTGCGGATACCACTTTGGCGAATTTGGAGGGGCCCGGCCCTACCTCGTGGCGGCCAAAAAATATATCTTGGTGACTCCTTTTCTCGGGGCAAGCGAAATGTGCAGTAGGCTCATTGTCTGGCATCGAGCGCCGCTACCCACATGGGGGGGGGGGAAAATTAGGATAAACACAGGCCGTCACAGTCCTAACATTGAGTGGGACATCCCACCTGAGGGAAGCGTGTCCACTTGCAGGTTCGGTGAGAAATCCGGCAATCTCTCAGACATGAAAGGAGCTGAGGCCACAGCCATGTTACAAGCCCATCAGCCTGATATGTTGAGACAGGTTCAACAAAGAGATCTCATGAGTGGCCGAGCTACATGTGACTATGCGCTGGCATGCAAACACCCAAGGGGCCCTGGAATCAAGCCAAGCTGGCACACATCCCAAACAAACGAGTGCAAGCACGAACCTGCCCAAAGAGGCTCCTAGCATGCGGCAAATGCGTTCCTTTGCCTGCAGCCTGCCAGCTTGAAAACTGATCTGTAGCCAAGTTCCTGAAGAGTGACTTTTGTCCCTGCTGATAGTCTTATGTCCCCGCATTCCCTTCAACATCACCCGCCTACCAAACCGAAGCGCACTTACACGTGGCGCAAATGGAAGCCCGGGTTTACCCCGGCAACTGTGTTGGTGTTGGAATGTCCTAGGTTCCCAGCAACAAAAACAAACATGCTGCCTAGATTTCCCGTTGCTTGTTTAAGACATTGCTGACTGGCAATCCAGGTCAATGTAGTTGCTAGTTGAGGGAAATCATGCTTGTCCAAAGGTCAAAGGGTTTAACAACAACTTGAAAGTAGTGGACAAGAGCAGCCAAGAGTTTGCATTGAGGATTGAGCGGTTGAACCACTTTAAGGTGGCACCAAATAGGAACCAAACATAATTCAAAAAAAGCAATCAAGCCGGGAGCTTGGTCCCCACAAAATCCGTCCCCTCCTTGGGTGTGCCAAGTTTTCTACAAGATGAAGGTTCCTCACTGGGGGTACCCGCATTTCGGTTATTTACCCAAAGGATTTGGGTGGTTCGGCCAAGTCTTGCGGATGTCTCCAAGAGTCTTGGCCCGTGCCGCGCCTGCTTTCCAGTCGGTGCTGCATCGCGTCTCCTGCCTGCCGTCGGTGCAGTATCGCGCGAAGTGGTTCCCGAAGATGGAGCTCATGGTGGGAAAGCCCCTCGCGGACGCCGCGGTGATGTCCTAGCGAGCACACTCCCCTGCAACTTCACACAAGGAATCAACGAAAGTGTTTTGTTTTTAGGGAGGCTCCTCCAAAGATGTTGTTTTTGTTGCGAAGTTGGTGAGTCCAATATCCTTCCTGAAATGGTCGAGGAGATGAGTAGTTAGCGGCCCCGATCAAACTCCCAATTAACACCCTGTCAATAAATTTTGGGGAGGTGCAAGCATTAGCTTACCCCAACCCCATCTATGTCATGGTCAGAATACCTAGTTGCCCAGTGACCATGGCTTTAAACGGGGAACCCGTTTTGGGATTGTTTTTTTTGCAAGGAACCCACCAAAACAACAAGTAAAACCGGGTGGAACCCAGGATCCTGTAGAGGACGACCCACAGCACCCCTCCGTCCCGGATGGAGTTGTCAGTGGGACTTGCAACCACTGGTGCGAAACTGCCCGAAGACATTCCAAATTTGAAGGGAGACTCCTTGGTATATCACAAACCCGGGAAGGGTAGAAGAACACCAAAACAAATTTCCAGAGAGAAACTGAGTGCCCGTGGGTTTTGATCGTATAGCTCGCAGCCCTGCTTAAACAACTTCCGCATGGTGTCCCTTCCCTGGTTCAAAAACATATTGACACGAACGGCAAGTTTGCTTTTGGCCAAATGTTCCAGCGACAAGCGAGAAACAAATTCTCTCTGCTGCCTTAAAGGGAATCAGCTCGTAGAAGTTCAGCACGCGCTTCCCCATCAGCTGCAGGTACACGTAGCGCCCAGCCATCCCCCCGCAGGACACTTCGTACCTCAAGGCGCCAGCAGGGTGGAATCTTCGGCATCAGCTAAGGTTTCCCTTTGCTGCTGCTTGCCCATTTGGAAGAGGAATCCACAGTGGCAAAGCTATTCGCCCTGGCTCTTCCTTCCAGAGTTCTAGGCGATTCAAATTCCATTCTGTTTACTGTAACCATCGCGTTCAGACAACGGTCGTTTTCCCTGGTTGTCGGTGGCTTTCCGGAAGCAAGGAGTCCTCTGAGACGGCCCAGGAGTTAGCTACTTGAATGAGCTTTCTTTGACATCGGACGCCCTGTTGCCCCCTCGCAAAGCATAACTGGGTTATATACTCACCATGCAGCCAAACGCCAACCCAAAGTAAAATGGGATGCCACTTGGCCATGCCCAAATGAGAAGCTGCACTTGATCTCAACCCAACTTGTATGGGTGATTGGTGCAAGCCCTGTCCGTTTTATTGTGGTGTTAACCCAGGTGAAGCCCTGTTGTCAACCTACTTTAGGGGGATCCTTCGATTTGGAGAAACACACCCAACTGATATGCTGGGTTATATCATCTGGGGTGAAGGTCGAAATACCGCTCCCTCTATACATCTCTATATATATATAAATATCAGAAACCAATGTCCCCAGCCCTGCGATTTTTTTTTTGGGGGGGGGGGGGGCCAAACTCAATAAACCACGAGAAAACAAAAAGACAACACAAACAAACCAAACGCTGCCTCACATATGAGGGAAATGTGTTGGTATGACGGGGGAGGACCAGAACTCGAAAAACCTCGGGAAAACCAAAAAACAAAGATATGAGGGAAATGTTTTGGTATGACGGGCTTGCCTTGCCAAAAGTAGTTGTCTGGAGGTTTGTTTTTTTGTATTTTGGTTTTCTCGAGTTTTTTGTTACTTTGCCACAGATGCTTGACAGGGCGCTCAGATTTTGGACCCAGCACGAGATGCAGATCATGGAAGCAGTCTGAGGCGCACTGCACACAGTGTGTTTACCAAAGATATTCTTGGAAAGTGAAGATACGCCGAGTAAATTGGCGAGAGGGGAGGATGACCAAATAATATCTGACCTTATGACCTTTCCATCTCTTGCCTACATCAGTCTCTCTGTCATCTCTATCACTAACTCACTTCTCAGAGATACCTTCTGCAGCTACTAATTGGCCAGCGGCAACGCTCACCGATTTCAAACCTCTATCTTACCTCTCTGTTCTCCCTTTCATCTCTAGTCCTCACCACCTACAGCTTCCTTGAAGATGAGATGGGGGCGGAGGGGCAAGAGATGAGAGAGAAGGGAAGGAGATGGATGGCCATCCAACCATCTCGTTTCCCTTAGTCTAATTTTCTTTCCTGTCGCTTCATTTGTTTCTTCTTTCCTGGCCGTTGCGGCGGTGAAGAGTTAGGTAAGAGGTGACAAGAGGAAATCCCACCCGCTAGCCGTTTGCAACGGTGAGAATGGAAAGGAGAAGGGAAAGTCTTTCCGGCGGTTACAAATGAATTCCGCTTCCTTCGCCTCTAGTCAGCTTCTCTTTCCCAATCTCTTCCCCAATTCTAAGTTACTTTGGGAAAGGGGGAGGTCAAGAGAAGGGAAGTGAGTGAACCTAGACGGGCTGGAATGTCTTTATAGTTGTCCCAGCTCTTGACTCTCTATCTCTTTCCCAATCATCTTGGCCTGTCGTTCCCATTCTCTTTTTGTAATCTTGGGAGTGGCATGAGAGGTAAGAATGGAGAAAGGGAATGCAAGAGATGGAAAGCATTTCTGCTTTATCTCTTAGAATTTGGAAATGCTTTCATGACAGTAGTATCTCTTTCCCTTTCTCTGCGTTGCTTGTCCTGTCTCTTCGCTCACTTCTTCACTCATCATGACCTGCGAGCGAGAGAAAGGAGATTGGGAAGGGTGAGGGAAGAGAGTGCGTGGGACAGTGCGCTACGGGATTGTCATTGGCGCTGAGGTCGCGCATTGGAAAGGTGGTGATGTTGAAGACGCCCCGCGGTTGCTCAGGAGTGTAAAACTGCATTGATGGGCCTGCAAGTGAGCCCCTCCACCACCTCATTGAGGTCATCATAGGTCATGCTCTTGGAAGGCTGCGAGACAAACAGGCACTGCCAGTTGAGGATGCAAGGGTGCAAATGACAGATGGAAATGGCAAGGCAAACGCAAGAAAAGGGGGCAAACCACCAGATCAAAAGCTGAATGGCCTTATCGTACTACGTGCCATGAACTTGGAAAGCAGCAATTGCAGAAGCCAAGGTTCCCGCTGCGCTTCTTATGCTTCTGACCCCAACAAAAACCTCTTGTGACATATCAAAGACAGCCTTTTTTGACGTAAAACGCAGGGCTGGGGGGGACATTGGCCTCTCTCATATATATATATATATGTATTACCTCTATATATATATATACATGTGCACATATATACATATATATATATCGTTGTAAAGAAAAAGACAAGGTATTTTCCAAAAAACAATATCCAAAAAGAGTTAGACGAAAACCAAACATTTGTGGGTGATATGACTTCAAACGGCCCCAGGCGATTCTCGGGGTGCCGTTGGTTTCCTCCCGAAAGACAAAACGTCCACTCCGTACCCCTTTTCTACTTGTGACACCATTGAAGGGATAGAAGGTGAATGCCCCAGGAAGGAACAAAGAGAAAATGGCCTGGCTATTGGCCTGACTATTTGTGTGAAAATCGTTGGCCCAACTGTCCAGCTCTCTGGGGTAAGATAAGATCACATGCAAATAGTGCAAGTACCTCTAGAAGTGTCAAGCCAGCAAGCGCACAGACAGGGCTTGACTGACAAATTGGGAGCAATGCAATGAGGGGACCACTTGGCAATTGTCTGTGGTCCAATGCAATGAGGGGACAAAGCCCTGACAACGCACAAACCAATGTGTCCTTTGGCAATTTGTCAGCGCACAAGCAAGACAAAGAAACAAACAAGCAGGCAGGCAAACAAACGGACAGAAAGACAGACAGGGAGACAGACAGACAGCCAGACAGACAGATAGACAGACAGACAGACAGGCAGACAGACAAACAGACAAAAACAATCAAACAAACAAACAAAACAAAACAACACATAAACAGGCAAGCAGGCAAGCAGGCAAGCAAGCAAGCAAGCAAGCAAATCAACAAACAAACAAACTAACAAACAAACAAACAAACAAAACAAACAGAAGAAAAAAAACAGACAGACAGACAGACAGACAGACAGGCAGACAGACACAGACAGACAGACAGACAGCCAGCCAGCCAGCCAGCCAGCCAGACAGACAGACAGACAGACAGACAGACAGACAGACAGACAGACAGACACACACACACAAACAAACAAACAAACAAACAAACAAACAAAGGAACAAACGAACAAACAAACGAACAAGCAAACAAACAAACAGACCAACAAACAAACAAACAGACAGACAAACAAACACACACACACAAACAAACAAACAAACAAACAAACAAACAAACCAACAAACAAACAAGGAAGGAAAGAACGAACGAACGAACAAACAAACAAACAAACAAGGAAGGAAGGAAGGAAGGAAGGAAAGAAAGAACGACCACACAATACACACAGAAATAGAGAAACATTGAAACAGAGAAAGAAAGCAAGAAAGAAAGAAAGAACACAAGAAAGACAGAAAGAAAGAAAGAAAGAAAGAAAGAAAGAAAGACAGACAGAAAGAAAGAAATAAAGAACAAAAATAGATAAAGAAACAAAGAAACGACGAAACAAACAAACAGAAGACAAACAAACAAACCCGCAAGCCAACAAAGAAACAAGGAAACAACGAAAAGTCAGAAATAACGAAACAAGCAAGCAAGCAAGCAAGCAAACCAAAGCAAAGCAAAGCAAACCAAAGCAAAGTAAGCAAGCAAGCACACACACACGCACGCACGCACCCAAGCAAGCAAGCAATCAAACACAAACAACCACAAACAACCAAACAAACCGACAAACCATCAATCAAACACTTAAACACGCCAGCCAAACAAAGCACCCAAACAAACCAACCAAAGAACCACCAAACCGACCAAAGAACCACCAAAGAACCACCAAACCAACCAGCCAACCGACCGACCGACCTACCAACTAACCAAAAAAGCAGACAAAAGAACGAACGCACAAGCAACCAAGCAAGCACGCAAACACGCAAGCAAGCAAATCAACCAACCAACAAAAAACAAACATGCACACACAAACACACACACACAGACACAAAGACACACAGACACACACACACAAACACACACACACACACACACACAAACAAACACACACACAAACACACACACACACACACACACACACACACACACACACACACACACACACACACACACACACACACACACACCCCTCAAGTGACCCAAGTTGAGCGGCAGCGTGACTGCTGCCGAACGGCTTGACACGCCAAGGCCTTGTAATGATATTGGATTAATAAGCTGGCAAGTAAATCGCCATCCGGATTCCCTCTAAAACGGGTTTTCTATCAACCAGGGGCTTAGGTTGATTTATCCAAAGTGCACATTAACGCAGTGCCCAAACGTTAGCTGAACAAAGCTTGCTCGTTTGGGACGTTGACTAACTATGGACCAATCATGGAAACCCAAAAGGCTACCAATTTGGTCGGCTTTGGACAACTGAGTTAATATCTTCAGGGCAGTGGTCACCTCTTGCCAAGAGGCCAGTCCTCCTTGTAGGAGATCTCTGTAAGGTTCCCGCAAATGTAGCCGTCACAAAAGCCATCTGAGAGGGGCGCGACTGAGTCAGCCGGGTTTTTTTACTGTGACCATTGAAAGGGCAGGGTGCTCAGAAAGTGGTCAGTAACCCTGGTTACGACCCACTCAGGGGACTTCAGTGGATTGGAACCATACCCATTACTAACCACGCCAGCCGCCTGCTAAGTATCCTGCCAATCACACAAGCTGGCATCCAGGGTAAGGTTTGGATGCATCAAGTTGTGGGTCTGCTTCGATTTTAAAAGACGTAAAAGCACTAGGCGACACCTCGGAAGAAACAAACAACACATCCAAACAGTTTCCCAAATATATGGGGCTTGCAATTGACCCTTGGTCGGCCAAGTACCCATTTCGGCCACATGAGCTGCGGGAAACACAGGAATCGGAGTTCTTTCACAATGGGCAGGATAAACCATGTTCCAGAGCTACAAATAGATTGCCAAAACAGGAAACACCAAAGAGATGGCCTTCGTCACTTGTGGAAGGAAGCTGAGAACATGTGCCTGGTCTAATCTGTGCAAACGGAGGGCCGGGAGTCCAATCGCTCCAATTGCCAGTTTCCCTAAGAGGACATGGAAGATTGAGTGAGTCTAGTTTTTGTGGTTGCAACTTAGTGAGTCTCCCATGTCCTTCCCAAATGGACCACCAAATCAGGACATGCTGCCCGCACCTGTTGGTTGAACCTAGGCCGCCGAAATCACCATGGGCTCCGAAAAGGGGAAACCAAACGGAGCTTGCTGAAACGATGCAGATTAACATGGAACCCACAAATCCACCATGTGTAGAGGAAGCTCCTTTTTGGGGGGACCCCGGCTTTTGGGTTCCATGTCAATTTGCAGGGGGAGTAGTAGTTTCAAGTGGGTAAGTGGTTGAGGCCCGCCTTTGCAGGGCGACAGGCTGAGTCCAAAGACTGCGCCGTAGAGGCTGCAGTGCTGACCCGAGTAGCCCCCTAAGGCCTCGCAGCCTTGGACGCAACGGATGGCCGGGGGCTAAAGTCATTCACGGCGTACTCCCATGTAATCCCCCATGTAGTCCCCCAGTTGTCCACCCTGTTTGTATTGAAGTACCCCCCCCTCCCCCCCCAACCCACCCGCATTCTAATTTGATTCAGGTCTTCAAAGTACCTTAGGGAGCAGTGGGTCAAAGCGCCCCAGGAACTGATGATCCAGTTCCAGGGAGGAATGTAACCACAAATCTGGTCACCTGAAACAAGGACCCTTGAAATCCGCACCAAGTTGGCCCCAAGTGCAGAGCTGCTCCGAAGACCCGATCGGCAGGATAGAACCCTGGCTCACAAAAGGAAACCCGTCGGCCTTTCCAGGTGGTTGGTGTCCAAGTCCAATTAATTCTCCCCGTACAAAGAATCCAAAAGGTGGTAATACCAGGTGGTAACGCAAGGGGACACACTCCCTGACCTCAGATGACTGGGGAAAAAAAAGACAACAAATCTACCCACCAAAAAGTTGTTCAAGTGTGTTCAAAGGCCCGGCTGGGCCTTTTTTAGTCTTCGAGGTTCAGATCACGGCGTTCTGCCAAGTGGCTCTCCGGCTTGGCCCACAACTGGATCTTGTCCTCGGAGAGCTCGCGAGCGAAAAAAAGCAACGGCCCCCACCGAAAAATGTCCTTTTGAAAACAACTGGATTCCACACGATTTCATTTTTCCCACATGTATGAGGTGCTCTATGGTGCACGGTCAACTTGGTTGCTGCATGTGCCGTGAGTCCAACTGAAACCCGAGCCGAAATACGAGGTTTGTGGGGGTTTGTCAAATTAGGGGCCTTCAGAAAGTGTCCCTTTCAAAAGGAAATGTAGGGAACCCCTGTTGTGACTCATGCAGATTCCGCTTTCAATCGAGTCTCGATGGCAGTCATGGCGTGGAGGTCCACTTGGTACCAGGGATTCGCTTCACCGCGACCTGCTCGACTGCCAAACTGGGTTCCAAACCAGGGATCCCTCGAATCCGCGATTCGTAGTGGGACACCAGGATATGACTATAACAAGGGATTAAGGATTGATTTTGAAGAACACACTCGAACAGAGTCAGGGTGTCTTCCTGTCAACTCTTCGAACAAAAGTGCCATAGGTTTACATGCAATACCGTTGACGGACAAGATCAGATTCACACCAGTTGGTAGGTGGTTGCTCCCAACATTTCTAGGGTTTCATCCATCCTAGCTGATGCTGGAGTTTACCCGTTTTCAGTAGGGTTGCATTCATTATTTGTGTGTTGCATAGCTGTGGGCAATATGTCATGTTCCCCCGAAATACACAAAGGAACATGAGCTATTCTGGCCAGTCGACATCCCCGAGCCTCACAGGAGTCCCTTAGCTTCCTAAAGTCGAGTTATCACGTCCCGGTTTGTATCGGAACCGTTCTACGGAGTGCTTCCAAACCATCCATGTGGCCTCTCAAAGCCTGTTCCCCTTTTGGGGAAACCAACCACTCCTGGAATTGAGTCAGTCTGCTATGAGGGTTCTCAAAAAACGGAGTCCTGTCTCAAATAGGGGTTGCCTTTCACCAAACCCTCTCCTGACATAGCTCCAAGACGAATCAATGTGGGCAAGTTCTCCAAAAGAATCCACTACCACCTGTGGGGGAACCCAAATATTCACAAAAGCACAACCCTGTCTCTACGCGGGTGACTGGTATGGAGAGGAGTCCTCAACTGCCCGATTGCCATCGAATTTGAATAAATGAGGGCCATCTGGGCCATCCAAACTGATGGGCCAATGGTTCCATAGGAACCTCTATGGTTCTCCGATTATCCATCAAGCATGACGTTCACCAAAGCCAAGTAAAAAAATGTTTGACCACGGTACACAAGGCCCGGTGCTCGCCCTACATTTAGCTCATGTTGACCCCGGATTCATAGTCCGGATTCACACCCCTGTCAATCAGGTGTGGGGCCCACTCCAATGGCCCAGATGGCCCATGCAAGTTTCTGTTGAGAAATGAAAAGCCGGCGGAAACCAGCAGAAACCTACATGGGTGTGGCCCAATGGTCTTTCCATTGATGCTTGTGTTTCATTTCAAGACAATAATTGCGGGTGTCCACTCGCACGCCCACATCCCCATTTCTTCCTCGGCTGTTTGAACCTAAATCATATTTAATGAATCTTAAATCGCAAATGCATGTTTACAGATTTCAAATGAGATCCCAATTTCCGCACTCACTCATAGAGTTTGGAAAACCATGTTTCAAAATGTTCAAACACCTGTTGATTCCTTGGCTGAAGCACCTGTTGTTTAAACAACCTTCAAATGAAGGGGGCCAGGTTCCGGACGCTGCAACAAGGCCCAACCCTGCCCGCTTTCCGATTTCCCCCTGCGTGGCACGCCTTGGTTCCACTTGGTGCTGCAGCGGGTGGTGAAATCGTCGTCCGAGCAGTAGTCCGCAATGGCGCCCTCTTCCACAGAACCTGGACCCAAGAGCTCAGATGGGATCCCAAGGCTTGGTCCTAAGAACCTGTCTAAGCCTGGTTGCTTTGGGAGGGAAGAACGAGCAACTAACCTACATTTGTTCAACAATCGTTGTTCCTCACAGATCCATTCTTTAAAACAAAGCGAACCCAAAGACACACAACTAACAAAACCTAACAACATCGAAACCTTGATGTTGGTTTTGGTATTAGATCTCTCAAACATGAGGCTCCCTGCCGTTTATGCATTGGTACATAAACACTACAACTTCACACAGAAAGCTTGGTCTCGGCCCTTGTTGTGGTTGCGCAGTTGCACATTGCAAATCTGCCCACTAGCCGCAAGCTCTTGTAAGTCGAGCTGCCAATCACTTGAAGCGGTGGACATGTGACAAACGTGCCTGCCACATGGGGGCTCGTCAGAAACAGGGGCTGTTTTTTGGCTATCTCCTTCAAAATGGCACAAGTGGCCCCCCTAAAATCTCCGCTAAAACTTGGGGTCATAGCTCATAGACTGATGTTGGGTCTAAGACTCATCATTTTCCTCAAAACTACGGGTGCACAGTATTTGCTTCTATTTATTTTATTTCCTTGGGGGGGGGCAGGTTCTCCATTGGAGGGCCCAGGTTCTCCATTTTTGGGCGTGTGCCTTTAAAAGCTGACAACTCATACGGCCACCGGTGGTCCCACCGTCAACACTAAACCCAACAGCCTCCATCGCGGAGTGAAGCAACGAATCGAGCTTGCAAACCTCCTATCCGCGCATTTGCCCTTGGTCAAGGGACCAATTCCCATCAGTTGCCAGTTTGTTCGCGCCGAAATCCAGCCAGACATAGAACTGGGACACGTCGGCATTGCTCTCAAGGGAAGTCAAAAGGAGAGTGCTGGAACACGTGGTTTGAACAAAAGAGCTTGGACCCGGGCTGATGCTGGGCGTTCCTTTGGCAGGCACCGCCATAGCCACCTGATCGGGGAATTCGATCGTCCGAAGTACTATGGGGGCTACATGATTGCCAGTCTACCCGTACTAACGACCCAACTTGATTTGTACCCCACAACCCCATTCTGAATACTTGTATAGGTCCTAGTCATTGCGCCTCCAAGTTGCCCAGTGTCCCATCGAGAAAAAGGACACTTTTGCTTATTTTGGGGTTCCCCTTCTCTGTTTTGCATAACCCACTCAACTAGGAGCCTGCCCCAAAGATTAGGAGCATGGCCCAGAATTCAGTCCAGGCCCAAAGTCCACTGATCTTGTCCCTGACAAACAAAAATGGGTGGGTCCTGCTGTTTCAACTCCCCCACGAAGGGGCCTAAGACCGATTCTTCTACTCTTGTGGCTTGATCCAGAGGCTTGGAGCAAACCTGACAAGCCAAAAGGGGTCCCTGCTTGAAACCAACTCGCGCGGCATAGCCGACCCCCTTTGTCAGATGTTGGTGGGGTCCAACAAGCAGAGCGCGGGTCGAAACGGGGTCCCAGCAGGGACCAAGCAATCCCAGTGGATCCAAGTTGCAACGATGGTGGGGAATCAGCCATTTTGTTCTTTGCTTCCATATGGTGGTTCCCTTGGTTACCTTTGCGTTCAAATGGTTACCTTTGCATTGAAATGGACACACTAGGAACTGCCAAGCACCCCCCAATTGGAAATAAAACAATACGAGTCTCCTTTTGGGAACCCCCTTTGACTGCTTCCGTGAATTTGCGGAGTAGCCTTTCGGTATCTAAGGCTGAGGGACCATCAGATGTGGGGTGAACCTGTTTTCGGGTCGTTGAAAAAGGACAACCTCTATTGCCGCGTTCCCCTTTGAGACGAACCCATACAGCAAGCAAAGCAATGTTTGCCCAACCCCAAAAAGGGGTACCCTCAACACACAGCTCCACGGTTTCCTGAGGCAACGGTCCACAAGTCGCGTCCCAGGCCGACGCCTTGTAGGCGGTGAACTCCCAAAAGTGGAGATTCCGGTTTCCCTTGTGCTGCACATAGACCTTACCAAGGGTGTGAACTTGTTCTCGGCTTCTCCGGTTACGTTGGTATGGGGTATATGTTTCTCCCTCTTGGTTTTGGGGAGTGGGGTATGAACATCAGGCCTTTGGCATTTGGGGGTCTGTAAATGGGGTAGGCATGAAAATGCTTAAACAACCGCCTGTTTTGTTCTCCCTTCAAAGGGGCCATGGCAGGTTTGTTTCCACCAATTTTGCCCAGCCGTGGAGGTGGCTGGGTCTTTGACCCGTTTCTACCACGGTTTGGAGGTCAAAGGTCAAAGAAGGGACCAAGGGACTTGTTGCCATCTTGGCACACCGATTTTTGGTGGGTCTAGGGCTCCATGATTGCACAAAAATGGTGCCTCATCTCACTGAGGGTGCAATCAGCCCTTCTGTCCAACCCCGGAGCTTTGCTGCACAGGAGAAAAGGCATGCATCAGGGGTCATCGAATGTCGACTATACCAATGTTGGGACTCCAGAGAGGGAACCCCTTTTGGGCGATCGCTCTCGCAAAGACCATAGACTACAGTAAGTTCATATCAAAGCGTTGCAGGAAAGATCCTGAACCTTTTGAGCCCAAAGCGATCTTTCTTGAGCAGGGGAACGAAAGCTCGGGAGAAAGCGGGTAGCAGCAGGGGAGCAGATTGGGGTACTGCGTGGGAAGCGAAGACCTGTCTGAGCCTATGCAAGCAGAAACTTCGAATAGCCAAGGCTACCTTTCGCAGCTTGCAGGAGTCACACCGTTTGACCAGCGTTTGGCATTGCGTGGACACCAATAGGAAGCCGAATGTTGCAGGAAGGCCCAAGTAAATCATACCCCAAGCCCGGTGCCGAAGGAAAGGGGAAGGTAAGGAACAGGCAAAATCCAGTCGCTTGCTGGCATTTAGGGAATCCGCCACTTATGGCGGTTCCTTTTGGTCCTTTTAGATGTTCTTGCACGGGTGCAGCGTCTGGGCAAAGAAAAACCAAAACAGAAGACTTCTGCTTTGCTTTTTTTAAGTGGGGTGTCCAACCCGAAAAATGACCACCTCCAGCGCGTCGGCCCCAGCCGAAACCCGTAGGACCCCCGCATAGCGGCCCTCAGGGTAGTCAGGCGCTACACCGCAGGAGATCTCGTAGTTTCCATCCGAGGATTGGTCGTTCTCGGTCACGGTCCTGAATTTTGAGACAGGGGTGCCATTTGCAAAGAGTACCCTTTACCCATGGGTGTCTTTTTTCAGGGGACCCTTAAGAATGGGTGTGTTGTCGTTCGATTCCCCTTTAAAACCACCAAAAACGGGGTACCCTCAAAAGAGGGACCCCCTTCACATGATCATTAGTCCGGCCGACAAAGGGTGCCTCGGTTTGACGCGCCCCAAGCCGCAGGCTGAAGCATTGCTATCCAATTGTCCCAAATCTCTATTGGGCAACAACCAAAGGTACCAAATCCTTTCGAAGTCGAAGGGTTAAGAATTGCCATTGAACAGTTGAATGAGGACGCCCTTCCTGAATAGTTAAGCTTGATAATTAGACTTTACTTTGCATAGTTGACGATGAAGGGAGCCTCCAACAAAAATGAGTTCTTTGCTTGGTGAGCAACCTTGCTGTTCCCTTCTCATCAGCACTTCAATACCTTCAGTGCCCTCAAGATCAAACTATACCGCAAGGATGGAACCTGGTTCACATGTGAGCCGTGGTCAAAGCTCTCTATGCAGGTCATGATCATGCTTCCCTGAATAGCTACCAGTACCGAGCAAAGTCAGTCACTGAGCGTGGCTCATGTGGAAGGGCTCGGGCAAGGAGTGCGCAGCTAGTCAGTTTGTTGTTGCGTTTCAGTTTGTCACTACGGCTTCCTCCAAAAAGTAGCTTTCCTGGCAGACTTCAAAATCGCGCTTGGCCTTGCCATGGTTGCGGAATATGACATTCCTGTGGTACAAACCTACGGCCACTTTATCACTGTTGAAGGGGCTCTCTTGGTATCACAGAAAGCGACAACCCAAGGGCCATTCCCTGTTATTCGACTGGCTTGCTCCCCAAAAAGCCTGCAAAACCGCAAGTGCGTGCACTTTAACCCGTTTAGCCGTGCCGGAAAAGAGACCACGGAACCATCTGCTGCCCTGGCGCCCGCACAGCTCGCCGTCGCAGCGGTTGCCTGGCACGCGGGTTGGGTGACCCACGAGTTCTTTGGAGAATTCAATTGGATGCAGAGCGGATTGTCCTTTGCAAAGCGATCGGAACACGGGTGGTAGAACCCTTTTAGGGTCTGAATCAATTCTTCCAACAATCGGAAATTGCAAGTTGAAAGACTGCCATCAGCTCAAAACAACCTCCTGTGAGATTCCATGATTGTTGGAAAGAGCGTAATCGCTGCGCCTTGAAACTAGGGATCTTTTGGGGAAGGTGAACCAGTAAGAAACTAGGCCCTTCACAAGAAATCAGCGGTTTGGACTGTCCAATGACCTCCTGTATCTGAGACTGACTTGCTGAGTTAATTGGCAAAAAACCGTCCAAACGGTTTGGTGCCATCAAGATGGTCTTCCCAAAGAGTGAGGAGATCTGCTCAACCTCCCCAGGAAGATACACCACACACACACACCAGCGGCCAGCATAAGACATGCAGTTCGCACCATCTCCAAGAAACCCGGAGTTGGAGGGTTCTGAGGGAAATGAGGTCTCTGAGAGACCTCATTTCCCAGGGATAGGCCTCGACCCACCGTCGGATCCTCATACTGGGGGATTCCAACAGACCTTGTGTCCGAAAAGCAGCACTTTAACCCGCCGTCACGCACTAAACCAATACTTGAGGAACTTCCTCAACCATGCTACGTCCATGGAAGAAAAAAACTCCCATCAAAGTGCCAGTGGTGATGTGGGACGGAAGGGGCGCACTCTACTATAGCTATAGGGACTGGCAGGGGATCTTATTATGGTGAGATCCCAGTTGCCCCTGTCTCACCCTCCGGCGCCTGCACAAGGTCGCTTGCTGACGCCCACAAATGCGCCTGCGGGGCACGGAGTGTGCAACACACATCTATAGACATGTCTGGGTGTGTCTGCGTGTGGTATCAATTTTGAGTACGGACCTCCTTGGTAATTAAACGTTGTTTACTATGACTATGCGCATTTATGCCAACCATTCAATGTGTCTATGTGTCTGTCTCTGAGTGTTTGTTAGGGAAACCAAACGGAACACCGTCGTTATTTTGGGCGGCCCTCTTCTGACACGTCCAAATCAATTGGACCAACTCCGGAACTGATCTCAGGGAGGTGCACTGCAAAGCCCTTAAGCTTAGTTAACACTTCATAGAGAATACAATTTGGTTTTGAAAGCATATTGGATTCAAGAGTTGCGGCCTTTGAAGCCTTGCCTTCTCCAGTGACCCCATGAAAACCACCATGAGAGTGGTAGTGCTCATGTGGATACTATACGGCACCATGTTGATACTTTTCTAGTATGAGTTCAGTAGACAGCATGAGGCAATCTCGTCTCGTTTGGAACACACAAAGCCAGGGCGTTTCCTGGTGTCCACACAGGGCATGTCTCTAAGGGAACCCTAAAGGAAATCATTTGTGGGTCCCGCTGCGTGTTGGAAATTCTGATTACAAGCCTTGGCGAGGCGTAGTACACCGTCAGGTCATAATTGGGTCAGACTTCAAGCAGGACCTCCCAGAAAAAACTGCAAGGCTTAACAAGAGCAATCTGCTCAGCAACTTCCCAAAGCTGCAAAGAAAGCAAAAGGAGGCTTGAAGTCAAAGGCTGAAAGTTCATGCGTATACGAACCCATGGTATGAACCCCTATTCTATTAGCAAACTAACCACTCATTACACAATACTTGTGGGAACCCAACCCCAAGAGGCACCAAATGGCCATGGGTTCATATATGGGTCCACACAATTAGGCATCAAGAAGAAAGAAAGAAAGAAAGAAAGAAAGAAAGAAAGAAAGAAAGAAAGGAAGAAAGGCATAAAGGAAGGAAAGCAGAAAGGAAAGAACAAATATGAACAAATAACATAAAGAAAGAGCGATATAATCCAAAGAATATTTCAAAGGAGAAGCCCTTAAGACCTTAGGTGATAGCCTCACGCCCCATAGCCCTTGTCGGTTGAGACAGTGAGACAGCAAAAGAGAAGCGGATCTCCACGCCTTTCAAAGAGCAGCTGGAGTTCACAAACTTCTCCAGAGAGTCGCAACCTGAACATCCATCGGACGAGCCCCGGATGTTCGCCCAAATTTTGCGGCCCCGTTTTGTCTGGTACCATGGCTTGTTGGATTAAAGGAAAAGTGGGAGACCAAAGGAACCCATCCATTTGGGGGGGTGAAATCCCCATTTTGACAAAGAGCCATGTCACGGACATCTGAAAGATGAGGTGCGTTAAAATAATGCACTAGTAGCAACCTGTTTTCCTCCGAGTTCACTTTTTTTGGAGGGGTCCCCCTTGATGGTGATATAAGGGGGGCTAAATCCTCAATACTTCCGCTCGCCAATAATCATGACTACCTCTCACTTTGAAGCTCTGATTATTACGGCGTTGCGGCAATGCGCAACAAGGGAGAGCGCTGGATGTTCAGCGGGTTCGGGCCTGGCAACAAGGGCGATCCGTATGGGACCTTGAGGGGCTGAGAGATTTCCCTGATATGACATAGAATCCAGAAAGAGCCTCTCCCACAAGGAGCTTCTCCCCAAACGAGGGTGCTTGGGGTTCGCGTTTGCCCAGATCATGACGGGTCTCGGCAGTGCGACAACCCCTTTTGCAAGGGCCCAACCAGTGAGCAGTGGGGACCCCAGTCCAGCTCACTGTTGGTGGTACTAGGGTTGCACAGGTCGTAGGCTTGACTAGCCTTCCTGAAACCAGGTAGGAACCAATCCACCCACTAAATTGGCTAATCGGAATCCATTTTAGACTCCGCTCAAGTCTCCCCGCGCTCAACTCTGGGATTGATCAAAGCGTGCGATGGTCGTCAAGCGAGAAGTTAGACTTGCTGTCGTTGAAGGGAAGTTATGATCCCCAGTCAAGCTGACATGCTTCCTTTTCTGCACAGCCCAATCAAAGCACTAGTTCTTTGGTTCCCTAGCTTCCTAACGCGTCTCAGGCGCTATCTGGAGCTGCTTGGATCTTCACCTTCACAATCCGCTCCGCCTTGCCAATGTCCACTTGCCACCAGGGATCCAGTTCTCCACGTCCTGCGAAAGGAAATCCGCTGGACATGAGGAATCTGCCCATGCGCCATTCTGGGTGGTTTGCTGCCGCATACGTGGTTTTGTCCCCTTTTAGGTTCCCCTTTAAAGTCATCCAAAAAGGGGTCCCCTCCCAAAAAAAACGCCTTTGTGTGTTTGCTCTAAAGGAAACCAAAGGGGAACAGCGCGTCCTCCAGCCCAGGCGGTGATGCATCGCGTGTCGGGCTTGCGATCTTGGCAGTTCTGAGCCTCTGTCTCCTCCGAGTAGGTGGAGCCTGGGCTCTCGGCTCCATAGAAACTGTTCGCCAAAATCTTACAATTCCAAACCAAAAACAAGACATGGATCCCCAACGGATCTTCACGAGCTCGGTTTTCCTCGGAATCGGCAAGCTCGCCGTAAAAAGGACAGACCTCGCAGCACATCCTCAGACAAGTCACACAAAATAGCAAGCTTCAAGGCATAAGCAAGACCCGGTGAAGAAATGGACCCAAGGATACACCTCGGCAAGGAATATACCCATAAGTGAAATGCTCCCGTGTATTGCTGCAAATGAGACAACTATCTTCAATGCCCAAGGTTCTGCCTATGTTTACCTGGTCTTGATACCTGAGGGCAACATCAAACCCAGCCCCCCTCGGGCAACAACACAAGCTGGCAACGAAAAAAGCCACGAAACCTGTCACCTCCTTGGATCTGTGAACCCAAATGAGCCAAACATCAAACCCAAGTTAGAACAACCGACCGGCAACCAAACAAGCACACAAACACACAAACACACAAATCAAACATCCAAACAGCCACACATCCAAACATCAAAGCAATAAAGAAAGCGTCCCCCCAAAGACAGCCCATCCAAAAGATCCGCTTAGCAAAGGTATACAAGGCGCTCATGGAGGCCTTTCCCCACGCCGGCACTGAGGCCATCTCCTCCACCTCCGGCGCCACCTCAGGGCACGAGCCACGGCAAAATCGACTCGTGTCACCGGGTCGCCCACAAATGCGGGTGCGGGGCACTGTGCAAAAATAGGAAACCAACCCCTCATGCCCACAACCCTGGTTTCAAAGCCCAAGTTCTGGTGAAAAGCATAGAGACACCCAACCACCAATGGGGGGGGGTTCAGGCACATGGTGGACCCCCTTTGGGGAAGCCAAATGCCTGGAGAGATCCCTGCTTTCAAGAAACACCCGTTTTGTCGAAATCAACTTGAACCCCCTGCAACAGGAGTTCGGCACTACCAATTTAAGGTTCCACTTCTATTCCGAACCCATGGCATGTTACCCACACCTTGGTCTCTGCAGGTACTAAACATGAGCAGAATAGGTTGGACCCGATGGGAAACCCCTTTACCTACTTTGTGGGTAGCTGGTTTTTGGCACGGCAACAAGTTTCCATGAGAGGTCCATGCTCTCAGTTTGGAAAGGAACGTGGAGTTGTGCTTTCAGTTTGTCACTGTGTGCTTGGTTCGACACTCATTTTCCAGTGGAATTCATATGTGCAATAAAGTGGCAACTGAGTCGGACGGACTTAGCAGTTCCGGGATCCTTGGGGAGATCTGTCGATGACTTTTGGAAGGTCAAAACGCGACTGCTGCGAAATGCACAAGACGACTTCTCCGGTGCGGAGCTTGCAAGACTTGCAAGCGGCGAATCTGTTCGTCAGAGAGAACGAGAGGCAAAGCCTCTCTCTTGTGGCGTGGGCAGAAACCAGCGGGAAGAAGGAATTCGGAGTTTCATGGCTCGGTTCCTTACGTCTTCAATGCAAACATCACCCTACGAGGAAATGCATTCTAGCATGGCCGAAAGATGATTGAATCGCTCCAAAAGGGCCATTCTCGCAGGCCCTGAGGCTGAGGCCCGTTGGAAGGTTTGGTCATAGCCGATGACGTTGTACTCCTTCTGAACCTCAGCGCCCAAACGACATGGGAAAATTATGGCTTGTCACCGTGGAGACCCACGTGTCCCTCCCAAATGAACCACAGACTACTATGTTCACCGAACCCGATGCGGTACCCTGCAAATTGAAATGGAATCCCAAAACGGTGGCGTTGCCACATTGTGGCTATATTTTGGAGTTGCATGTTACTCTGCAGGGGAGCAGGTGCTCGCATACCACGTGAGATGAGTGTTGCTCCTTCAGACTGGCTTGGCTCCACGACCTGGCAGCCTGGCATTCTTTGGCACGTCCGCCAAATGGACATGAACAAAAACCCTTTTCTGCAATACCAAAGTAAGTTGTCCCTGCTTCGCCACTTCAAGCAGATTCCCTTGGGATCATGGAAAAGCCAATTTTCGGGGATTTCTGGAACAGGAGCGCTTCCATTCGCGCGCCGATCTCAGGGCCCGGCGTGCAAATTGACCCAGAACTCGCCATGCTCCGTTCCTGGTGCCAATGGGGGGAGGGGGTGGATCGTGGTATTGTAGCAGGCGGGGGAGCCAAGACGAACTTTTGCACGTTCAACCACAACCCCCTTGTAAACTGTTCGCAGGGATTCTTTGGTCCCCTTCCTTGTACGATTTCAAGCATTCATGGTACCTTTGCGCAGCATGTACCAGTTGTTGAGCTCCCAAGTGTCTGGCTACTGAGCCTCACTGCAAGCCGTCAAGCCGCCCTGACTTTTGCAGAAGCACCATGCAAACTCCTCAACGGGGAACCTAAAGCTCATCTCAACTGATCCTCTTGGATGATATGTGGGCTCAGAGCCCACATATCTAAAGCATTGACAAGTAACAAGCGCACAGCGCAACAACAGCAACCATAAAGTTACAGAGCCAACACTGTCACACCGCGAACTGTTAGAACTTCAAACATATCATATATATATATATATATTCATACACTAAGTCATCCAGGCAACTATAAAGCAACGTGGAAAAATGTGCACTAAGTGCGTCCGCAGGAGCGGACAGCGCAGTCGTTGCGGTTCAAGGGATCGAAGCTGCACCTGTAGTGCAAAAAAAACATGCTGGTAACACAAACACGGCAACAAAGCAAATATCTGAGTTGTTAAGTCATCCCCCAAAAGGGCAACACAGGAGCAATGAACTTGACATTTGCGGATTTGTTGGTTGCCCAAGCAGCAAAACAAATTCTTCACAGGGTGTCCAAAGACTGGGGTGCTCGGAAACGGACAATCTAATCTTTATCCGAAATCGGCAGTGGGACACCACAACAAAAGCACGACAATATGGCACAAGGATTAACGGGTCTCCAGAAATGCGACTGAGATGGCCGGGTTGGCGGAGGCACCCCTGTGAGAAACTCGGTAGCAATATCGGGGTCTCTCTTTTGAGAATACCCGTTCTTGTCTGCTTCTGAAGTGAAACCCGCCCCAACACCAACTGTTTTTTGGGATCCCAATGTGTCGGTTTCGTGCCCTGTTGGGTGGCCTTGCCAAACTTGCGTCCTGTTTGGACCCCCCCTTTGACTTGCTTCTCCCAAAATGTTGGAGACAGTAGAGGGAGGCTTATCATTTCGACACGCTGCGCGAGCCATGACAGGGGCTTCTGACTGAAAAGCCGGCCGCACAGCCCCCTGCCTCGTGTTCTTTGGTGCATTCTCCTACAGCAATTTGCTATGGCAGTGAGAGATACTCGCACACACAAAGTCTTGTGTCAAAATGTGTTGAACGCTCCGGGATTGATTGACAAAGAGGGCACACGAGCACCCACCGTTTAGACAGCCCCGTGCGCAAATTTCAGCATGGTGTTGCTCATGTTTGCGAAATGTCCTTGTACAAGAAGCACGACAAATGCGTGTCGTCGTCAGGGTTGTCGATGTTTGATTGCCTGGGCTACCGGACTGCTGTCGAAACAGAACCAGTCATGGGAATGATGATGGCTGTCTTGAATCCCCATTGAGGACTTGATGGCTATCCCTACAAGCCCAAGTCGAAAGGTCTGTGGACCATGCTACACATTCACTTGCCCAAAGATCCGGAAATAACAGATTCACCATTTACCTTGCTAAGGGCCAGATAAAGAAACAAGGCCAACTCCAGAACACGAAAAGGCGGGCAAGTGAGTACACCACCGCATAATGCTACAAACAGAATTCCCTCGCAACTTCCACGTCCAGCTCCTACTTGAGTCAGCTGATTCGAACGCAGTGCGCAGCGCGGCTCATTTGAGCGCTCAAGCCAGGTGGTTTAACTCTGGGCTCTGATCCTGAGATAAGCTCCGAACATCTCCTGACGGTGCACAGTCAAAAGTATTCCAAACAGAGTCTTTGCATCAGCCACAGTTGCGGGCCGAGTCTTGCTCATGCTTCCCTACATGCAGTTCAGCTTGCTAGTGTATCAAAGTTACATGGCTTCTAGGGTGACACACACATACACACATTGTTGTCCGTTGGTTCAAGCTAAAACCCGTTTCTTAAACCCATTTAGGTTCTCCAAGCAGAGGTCACCACTTCAGAGCGCTCAGATTTCTGGTTTCGAATCCCTGAGTGCTGAGTCTGCCGAGTTCGCTCCTGTTATACTAAGGTGGTTGACTTCCATGTCCATGACTTTCTCAAAATCCCACCCCCTAGTCGCAGGGAAACCAACAAAAGGTTGCTTACACCACGGCCTGACTGCTTGATCGCTTGCACAGAAAGTGACCTCCCACCTCCCCCAATTTTCAATAGCCATCAAAAAGGCAAAGGAATCGACCCCTGTTTTTGGCCGAGTGGCAAGGAAAACCCATGGCAGTCCGTGCTGTCGCAGCCGTCCCGGCAGGACCTCAGGTAAGCTGCAGGCCTCTTCGTCAAATGGTGTGGCTCAGGTGAAAATTGAAGTTTCCCAAAAGACCTGAATGGTACCTGCAGGAAACTCCCAACTGGGTACTACCCAGGAATTCTTGGTAATGAAAAAACTGGGTCCATTTTAGTAAGACATCCTCAGAATTACCCTGAGCGGTTCAAAGTCGGAAGTCAAGCCCCCCCCCAAGTCATTCATTATATAGGGAGGAGGGGAGGAGGGGGCTTGGAGGAGAATTACCACGTTTGGCTGTGGCTTACAGATACGGTAACACCGCAATTCCTAACTCGCAAAGATGCTACAAAATCTCAAGGTTCCTCAACGCATACATCCGAACACCCTCGGATTGACAAAGGGGTCCTCCACATCAGCTGGACGCTGAATCTGGGGTCTCCTCTCTCAAATTGTGTCATTGTTTAGGGTCGACTAAATTTTCAAATAGAATCTGCCAAAAAAAAGTGGCCGCCAGAATTGGGCCCAGAGAAGTCTACTCCTTTTTTGTTTTTCTTTAGTTTTTGTTGGGGGGGGGTCCTCGGAATTACTTTCGCGGTGCTCACGGCAATTGTGAGGATGTCACTCTTGCCAAATAAGGCCCCCGGTAGGAACACTGTCCCCCCACAGATTCCCTTAGTAAGATACAGGGTTGTTCCCAAAGCAGACCTTGTTGAGGCCTTACTGAGGAGTCACCTGGGCGGTTTGGCTCCTTGATTTACTAGTTGCATCTATTTGCTAGGGGGCTTTGCAAAGCCTCCTTGACCCGCGGTGCTATGACTATTCTTCTGCGGTTGAAAGGATTGGTGGCAAAGAACACCTTAGACAAGGGGTATCCTTGTAACCAACCGATAACAGGCCTCAAGGGTTGCCGACTAAAATCCCTATTCAGGGGTTGATGAACATCCCCACTGGCTGAAAAGGGAGAATATCACCCTGGAGGCTCCTAGAGGCTCTACACAACCTAGGCACTTTCCACTTTGAATGGGGGTGATTTGGTGATTAGGAGCATACCATTCCTTGATAGATGGCAGAGAACCCAGTTTCAGGCGACTGACATCATGTACAAGAAATGACGCCATGCGAGCCTGTGTAAGGCATGTCTTACCCACAATGAACATGCGAACTCATCATAGACCATGGGTCATACAAGGACCGGCCCTCACTTGGCTGTGTGCGCGTATGTCAATGTTCTGGATCCTAAGCTTTGTGAAGCCTCGGATTTTGCCGCATCCCCAGAGGCTTCAGTATGTTGATGGCAACGATTTGCGGTCAGAGCAAGCAAGCATGGGCCAACTTCTCAATCCCTGGCATGCTAGCAAAAACATTTTTTGTGCAGCTGCCCACACTAGAAAGTACTGAACAAGCAAAAGCTCAAACACAGACCAAGAACAGTGCAGCAAAGGTGTATCCTTCTGAATCCGCACACAGTCCAGTGCAGAAAGTGGGGGAGTGCGCGAAGGAGAAACCAAGCGTTTGACCGCCGGGGCACTCAGTGGCGGTGTCTTTGGCGAATTGTCCCAGCACGTTGAACTTCCAGCTCAGCACAAAGCACTTGTTCCCATCCTCGGCTTGAGCAGAGTGATCTCAATATCTGCGAAATCCCTGAGAGGGACCATGTCGAAGCGTTTTCGAACGGTACCCACGTAGAGCCCCTGGCCACAACCTTCGCATTTTAAATTTTCGAGAGCCCAGCGGCATCGCAAGGCATGCCCACGTAGTGATCCTGGCCCACAGATTCACACCCTGATCATGTCAGCCAGGAGTCGTGTTCACGTCAGAGACATCAAATGTCAATGGGGAATTGATTGGACCCTTTTAGGTGGTCCTCGTCATGTTGGAGGGAGTTGAAGCGGACTCTAGCAAAAAGGGTAGCAAAAAATTTGGATAGAAAATGGCTACGGTTAGCTCCTGAGGCCCACTCAAAACTGGACTTTGCGACTGGATGGGTGAAGAAATGCAAGTGTTTGCTACAATGCTCCAAGCCCAACAAAATGACCAAAGTCCAGGAACACTGGGAAATGTTTGCCTTGGCACTTTGCACTTTCTGACCGCAAACAGCGCAGCTTGATGGTACGCAATTCAAACCACGTGTGCCATGGCCAAAGCACTCTCTTCGTCCATAATCATGGTGTTAAGCTTTATGGGAGTCCATGTCCATGTCCGTGTCCTTGTCCGTGTCTGTGTCTGCCCCTGGTTGCCTGTCTAAGCGTGTGTGTGTGTGTGTGGGTGTGGGTGTGTGTTTGTGTGTTTGTGTGTTTGTGTGTTTGTGTGTTTGTGTGTGTGCGTGCGTGCGTGCGTGCGTGCGTGCGTGCGTGCGAGCGTATGTGTGTGTGTGTGTGTGTGTGTGCGTGTGTGCGTGTGCGCGTGTGTGCGTGTAAGCGTGTGCGCGTGTGCGCGTGCGCGCGTGCGCGCGTGTGCGTGTGCGCGTGTGCGCGCGCGCGTGTGCGCGTGTGCACGTGTGCGCGTGTGCGCGCGTGCGCGTGTGCGTGTGTGCGTGTGTGTGCGCATGTGTGTGTGTGTGTGTGCGTGTGTGTGTGTGTGTGTGCGTGTGTGTGTGTGTGCGTGTGTGTGTGTGTGTGTGTGCGTGTGTGTGTGTGTGCGTGTGTGTGTGTGTGTGGTTGTGTGTGTGTGTGCGTGTGTGCGTGTGTGCGTGTGTGTGTGCGTGTGCGCGTGTGTGCGTGTGCGCGTGTGTGCGTGTGTGCGTGTGTGCGTGTGTGTGTTTGTGTGTGTGTGTGTGTGTTTGTGTGTGTGTGTCTTTGTGTGTGTGTGTTTGTGTGTGT